CAAAGAAGCTCTCTTCTTTTCTAGGACTTTGTTCATATTATAGGTCCTTTATAAAAGATTTTGCAGCTATTGCTGAACCATTGTTAAAATTAAAAAGGAAAAAGGCAAGATTCTCGTGGACGGCCGAAGCCAATAGTGCTTTCGAAAAATTAAAACAAGCATTAACGCAAGCCCCTGTGTTTGAAATTTCCTGAAAAGGATGAAATTTAGAAATTTCAGCGGATGCTTCGGATTATGCGGTAGGAGCGGTACTTTCGCAAAATCAGCAGCCCGTGGCATTTTTTAGTCGAACTTTAAATCAAACACAAAGAAACTATTCCGCGACCGAGAGAGAGGCACTTGCAGTTCTGTTAGCAGTGCAAAAGTTCCAAGTCTATTTTGGAAAGGCGCCGATAACAGTGTATTCTGATCATGCGGCGGTAACTAGATTGTACTCAGGGGAAAACTTATCCCCAAGGTTAATAAGATGGGCACTCAAGCTACAAGAATATAATCTGGTAATCAAGCATACCCCCGGAAAGGAAAATATCGTAGCAGATGCCCTATCACGAATTAAATTAGACGAACAGGGTAATACCGTAAAAGTTGCAATGCTTACAGCGTGTACAATAAATTCCCGAGAAACTGTAATAACCGAACTGGGTAAGGATCCTGAGTTTGGAAGTATTTATGAGTATTTGAAGGATCCTGAAAATTTTAGCCACCAAGATATTGTGGCGATAAGAAATAGGGCGGCCCATTACGAACTAATAGATGGTCTATTATTCTACACAAAAACTACGAATTCCAACAACGAATTTCGACCTGTTATCCCAGCTAGTCTTAGATTAAATATCCTGCAGGAGCTCCATGACAGCCCTTTAGCTTCTCATGCTGGTATTCGAAAAACTATCCAACGCGTACGCGAGGCAGTCTACTTTCCTGAACTGCAAAAGTTAACAAGGGCGTATGTCCAGTCCTGCCCAACATGTCAAGCCGTTAATTATATTAATTTCCGCCCGGCCGGGTTTCTAAATAGTATTAAATCCGAATTTCCAAATGAAATAATTGGCATCGATTTATTGGGCCCTTTCCCAAAAAGTCAGTTAAATAAAAGTCGCTATCTCCTTGTTATGGTTGATCATTTTAGTAAATGGACCGAAATTGTTCCCTTAAAACGAGCCTCCGCGAAATTAGTTACTGATTCTATTTTAAATAAATATATTTTAAAATACGGGGCGCCCCTAAAAGTTATATCGGATAATGGTCCTCAATTTGTAAGTAATATATTTGAAGACATGTGCCAAAAACTGGGCATACGTCATTTAAAAATGGTCCCGTATCGGCCGCAATCAAATATAGCGGAACGGGTCAACAGAAATATAGTGAAAATTATCCGTAGTTATGTTAAAAATTTTCATAAAAGCTGGGATAACTATGTCAATGAATTTGCTTTCGCCCTTAGGACCGCAAAACATGATACAACGGGCAAAACTCCTGCTGAGTTATTTTCTAGGCAGAAAGATTATAACACCGTTAGATAAACTATTTTATGTGCAACAAAGAGCCCCAGAATTTAAAATGGGTGATATAGAAAAACTAATAAAAGAAGCAAAAAAGAATACGGAAGTAGCACAAAGAAAACAGAAATTATATTATGTTTTGAAACGACGGGGAGTAACTTATAAAGTAGGGGATGAAGTTTTAAAAATTAAGCATTCACTTTCTTCAGCACCAGAAGATAAAACTGCCAAATTTTTTCCACGATTTGAAGGACCATATGTCATAGAAAAAATAACTCACGCTGTTGTAGTGTTAAAAGCCAGAAATGGTGAAACCTGTTCCGCAAACATTGATCAAATCAAGCCCTACTTCGATCGTAATAAAATGCAAATCTTTTCAGATCTTTTGCAGGATCCGGCACGGCAGACACCGCAGGTACAAGTTCCAGAGGTGGAAAAAACGACAAGTACAAGGGCAAGCCAATGAGAGACAGAAGCAAGTGAAAAGAAAATTGCCCCGCGGAAAAATGGAAGGTAACAAGAAAAAGAAGCCGTTCCACCGTCCAGAAAACAGAGTTCACGAACACCCCCAGAATGAAGAAGGGAGAAGGACGACTTATGTGAAGAGGACCAGGAGAAATGACGGCAACTATAACCCGGCTTTAAAATGGAAGATCTACTCATCCGACAGAACTCCCCGCAGCAAAAGTCGCCGAACTGCTTAAGAGCCATCAGCGGCGGAGGAAAAAGTACAAGAAAAATTTGAACGGCCAACAACGAGGTCCAAGCAGGAACACGACAGAAGTTTCCTGGTTCCGCCAAGACCAGCTGCCATCAAACGGCAAAGACCACAAGCAGAGGAGTAAAGGAAAGTATTCAAGGGTGGCCGTACTGGTGAGAAAAGGAAGCTTCCAGAGGAAAGCACTGAAGGGCGAGCCCGTACAAGAAGGAGGATAAACCAAGCTACTATCTGCGGTACCTTTAAAGACTGGGCCCAGAAAAGGATGTCCGAATATTACAAAGATAAGTAAAATTTTATGTTACTTTGCAAACTTAAGTTAATCTTTCATTCTTACTGCAAGTGGCAGATTTCAAGAAGTTTTACCTCATGCGAGGTCTACCTTTATCGCCAAAAGGGCGAGAAATGAGTTGTGACCGATTTTCGTATTATGTTTTTAAATTTCTCGTGCGTAAAACTAAAATTAGTGTATAATAGCGTTGTGTAAAGACTTAAATATTGTAAAAAGTTATTGTATAAATTTTATTTAAAACATTCTAGCAAGAAAGAAGTTTTAGTCTGAAAGACTTTTTGAAATGTAGTATTATTTCAATGTAGAAAGAATTGGCACTTGCTTTGAAAAGAATAGAAGTTAACAATGTACTACTAATGTATGTTTTCAAATGTGTAAAATTAACGGCATGTTGATATGTTCTTATATATACATGTGAACTGTTATTTTAAATGTTAAGAAATACCGTGATATGGTAAAAGTGAAAGTAATGTTAAAAATTTGTTATTCGTGTGACTGTAAAGATTAAATCATGGCGAATATGTGGTAAAGGTTGAATGATGTAGTTAGGCTCTCTGACGCTACACTTTAGAGTTAGCCACTTTCAGAATAGTACCTCAGGGTTTAGAGTTGAAAGTAGGGTGTGTTAAGAGGTCTCGTTATGTTGAATTTTAACACGTTAGTGTTTTGATTGTAGGAGGAAGTGTGGCACACGTAGACAGAAACACATTCGTGTTTGGTGTTTTTTTTACAACACATGTCAGAGAGCACGGGGAGAGATAATTAAAATAGTCATGAATGAAATAAGAATGTTAAGAGAAGTATATTCTATATGTTATTTGCAATGTCATTGTGTAACATTTCATTAAACTAGTTTTCCTTCCAGATCTCTGGAAGGAACCAGAATTGAATAAAGCTCCTGTTTAGATGCAGTACAGATGAGAAAAAGATTGTTGTATATCCTGGGAGCTGCTATTGTAACAAATTTCTTTCTTTTAAATTTTCTAGTTTCTAGAGAAGTTATGGTTGTAAAAGGTTGGCCTCGCGTTAGATTCTAGAGCTAAAAGTTTTCAACAAGGTCGTTTTAGACCTCAGTTTCAAACTAATTAACTCTGGCGGGAAGTATGTAAGGATCTTAAGTTTTACTAACGTTTATTTTATTTTAAATCTTTACTATCACTTCTTATTTTCTACTTCCGGCCAGAATTATAAGCGTGAAGGTTTTTATGCAAAGTTTGTCTGGCGAACGCCAAGTACTTAAGTTGTGGCTTTTTGCCAAGCAAAAAAGAGAGGAAGCAGTAAGCCAACGCAGGCCGCTTACCTTAGAAGTTACGCAGTTGCTATTTGCCTTCCAGGCCAGAGGTTTTAATCCTCTTGATAAATTAAACGTATTGTAGTGTTCACAGTCTCTGTGCTACATACGCTTCCTGTTATTATAAGGCCAATCTTCCACGTGTATTATTCTAAAGTTAAATTAGAGTTTAGTTTTATTTTTATACTTTTTTTACGTTAGACCCCGAGTGGAGGGTCAGTGTATTCCGAAGTACGGAAGTTATTGTATATAGAGGAAAATAAAGGGTTTTGTATACCCTTCGTCTGTATCCTGTCTACTTACTACAATTAGTGAACATAGCTTTAGTAAGCTCTCTGTTCCTAGTCAGGTCCTGGTATGTTCCCGAAGAAGGTTAGAAGGAACATTGAACCTGATATTATTACAAAACGTCATAAAATTAACAAAATAACTTAATAATAAAATTAAACGTCCTCAAATTAACAAAAATAATATAAAACTAATGTCTTGGCGAAAGAGCCACATGGTCGCCGAAAACCATATATTCCCTTCCTGTTCTCCCAGCGTTTCCTAGCTTGTCGTTCTTCCAAAAATTGGGACATTTTTAAAACGTCGTGGGACAAATTATTAAAAATCGAGACTGTCCCTTTAAAAGCACCGCTCTGGTAACCTTGCACTAAGGACTTCTAAGATTCTCCTGGGGAAAAATTAGCGAAACCTTTCTTCTAAATCATTTCCATGTAACGCGACATTAAATCTCTTTCTGGTAGGGAATAGTAGGTGAGAAACGAGAATAGACAGTAAAGCATGTTTAAAATTAAAATAACTGTCAGAAACTTAACCCCTACATGGTGTAAATCCTAAATGCATAAAGATAACATTCAAAGGTACAATTTCTCTATTTTGGGTATTTTTTACACGAATATCGTCTTTTCTACCAGATTTCAGCTAAAAAAAAAGGTGTAATTTCTCTTTCAAAAATTGGAAATATGTTGCTGATTAAGCAAATGCAATTAGTATATTAGGAAATATATTAGGTGTAATTTAATTACGTTAGTTGTAATGCAAATGAACGAAAGTTTGAAAACTGGAAAGGAATTCCATAAACGTTTTCATTTGCCATGTCATTCAGATACGCTGAAAATATTCTTTACAGACTATGCCGATATAAAGGAATGTATAGAGATAAAGACTGTAGCATATTTAATCAATACTTACTTTTTGAATAGGTAAATGCAGTACCTCATCTAAGTAGGCTGGTAGTTTACTCTGAAAGCAAAGAAAACTCCATACTCCACAAAACTTAGCTACTGTTACCGCCCATACCGCCGGAGATCGAATAACTTTAAGCCATGGAACAGGTAAATTCTGAAATAAATAAGTAAAGAAAATCAGAAATTTATGCTTTTTTTTTTTATAAATTTGCATTATTTTTTACAAAAGGATTATGCAAAAAGGCAATAAGAATTTAATAGCTTTATTTGAAATGCCTTTAAATTCTTTTTTCGGTATCTGTTACGAATAATTAATTAATTCCATATTAATTGAATGGCAAGCAGAGGGTTTGACTTTATTATTTCATAGTAAGTTGGATGCTTGTGTTAATTCCATCATTCTAGCTTTTATTCTTATATTTACGATTCAAAATTTTTTCCTTTATGAAAGAGGAGCTATCTGTATTCTCACATTTTAAAAGGAGACGCAGAAATATATGTGATATAATAAAAAATATTCTTATACTATAAGCCAGCGTTCTCAACCTTTTGACTAACGCGTATCATCTAAACAAAAATTGAAAAACTTTAGTACCACTACTACATTTTACAATGATTATTTTGCACTTTCTCAGTAGAAGTATTAAAAAATATATATATTTTTGCCATGTGCACAAACTATTGGCTACTTGTATTAAATATGCACACATAAGATATTAAATTAAAAATTGGTTACCGTTTTAATTATCAAAATTTAAGTTGTAATGCTTTAAAATTTAATGTGAAATTTGGGCCTCTTTAAGAAGAGAGATCAATATCTTTATGTCTGATCTTATTTCACTTAGTTTTTACTGTAAATTAGTATCCACTTTTAATTTTCTTCTTTATTTATTTTCCAAATATATCGTGGAAGAAAATTCTAGTTCACACAAATAGTTTGTGCAAAAAGGCAATAAGAATTTAATAGCCTTATTTGAAATGTCTTTGAATTCTTTTTTTCGGTTCAGCCAAAAGTTAACAAGAGTATTATTTTCGAAATCTTCAGTTAGAGTTAGGAAATTTTTATCAATTGTTCTTTTTCTTCACGAGAATTTTGAATTTAATAGTTAAAAATACCTTCTTTCTTTGCGTATCACCTATTTTTCTTTTTCGTACCACCGGTTGAAAATCGCGGGTAAAAGCCATACCGTATTGATATTGAAGGCGACTTTGACTTGAATTTTTGTTTGACTTTTTGACTTTAGGAACCATACATTTTTGAATTGACTTTAGGAACCGTATTTGAATTTTGACTTTAGGAACCGTACAATGTGAATTTTATAAATGCCTTTTTAATATTGTTTTACTTCATACATTTTAGAGGTTTAAAATAAAATTATTAGATTCAAGGATAACATTTCTGCACACGGCAACTTTTAAAAGATCTTCGGAACTGTAGTCCATTTTGTCAAAATATCAAAGATTTCTTAGACCTTTCTAGAATTACCCTACAGATTTGAAAAGAGTTTCGACCACTCTTGGATCACGTAATTTGTGAATTCCTTTTTGGTCTGCACGGAAGCGAAACACACCAAAGGAAGTGATTTGGACTAAATGATAGCTTAAACTAGCAATGCTTAAATCTAGAAACACAATATTTGTACTTTTTTTGGTTTTTAAAATTTTGGTTTTTAATCTGCTTTTACTCAAGATTGCTTGGGATAGCAATCGATTCAGGCCTAATTTTATTTATTGTGGATCTGGTTTTTTGACATATCCCACTTCTCTGACAGTAACATCAGCACAAGCCACTAATTTCTCGAGAAGACTTTCGGCGCTCTGCTCACATCTATCTGGGTGGTTTTCTTGCTCATATTTGGGTGGGAAAAAGTTAATATTTCCGTTTTCGATTTTTCCACTACGTGCTGTTTATGAACAACTGAGAGTGGTTTTTGCTTATATTAAATTTTCAGTGCGCAATTGACGAACATAAAATAATTCCTCACTTAACCTACATCACAAAACACTGCAAATACAGAAGAACAAGCCTAAGAATCAGTACTAATTTTTTACATCCAATTAAAAGTTACATTAAAATAAACATAAAACCTATTAATCCCATTTCAGGCTTAAAGTACTTGCGAAATGTTAAGCAATGATTGACCTGTTTTTCTTTAGACATATCTGGTAGATTTTTTTGAATGTATTCTAGTTCGTATGCACTTATTCTTGGATGCTTAGAGGGAGTGTCGAATGCTAGGTAGCACCAAAGGACAAACCACAGAAGACCAGCTGCTCCTGAAAAGAAAAGAAAATAATATAGCATTAGAAAGAGTCATATTACAGTGTTTAAATTTTGTATTTGTTATGTTACAAACGATGTTCCGAGAAAAAAATTCTTTTCATCTGATATGAAAATAATAAAAAACTGACGAATGCGAAAGTACTCAAGAAACAGTCATCAATATTGACATACAATTTAAGAATAGATAGTTTTGTTAAAATGTTTATTATTCTTAATGGTATGAAAGGAGAAAATATTGAGATTATCATGTTTTTTCTCTAATTTCATTGCATTTTGCTGGGATATATGCTTTTTAAAACAGGAATGAGAGTCGGAAAGACGCACTCCGCTGGGTAAAAAACTCTTATATATAATTATATATATTGTTGCGTTTTTCTTTTCTGCCACCAGATGTTACGTTATTTTATTTCCTTCACGTTCGTACGGGGTTCATGTGGATTTGGAGTGAATAACGACGACACTTGATGAAGTATCGACACACACTTTATTGGCGGTATTAATCAGGACAGCTCCAAAATCTTGTTTGCAGTCGTCGAACTGTTATAAACACGCTGACACGATCAGCGACACAGCTTTCGGGTTACCAAACTATCACGGTAGAACAGCTTCACTGCAAAGCACCAGAGTACAGCTCCCGACTCTGCTTGGTCTCTCTCGGAACTCTACGTACTCTCGAGACTCTCCACGTTACAACTCGCGATGCACTCGGCGACGCGCAGAGCACAGCTCCCGACTCTTCGGTTCAGTCGTTCCCGGAGCACTAACCGCGACACACTACGAGACTCTTTCGGTGCACTCGATGACCCGCTCGGCACTCGCTGCCCGGCTGTCAACTCGATCGACTCCGCACGGATTGACTCGTTAGACGAGACACCAACACGATACCAACTATCTCGCACTCTATGAGAGGCAAGCATTCTCGCCCTCTCGACGAGGCACACTCTCTAACTAACTGTGGACCAGCAGGGTTTATATAGCATTCGGCTTGTGTTCGAGAACATTCTGGCTAAACCGGTAAGAATTCGTTCCAGAAGGTTATCCAAACGTCCATGGTATATCGCCAATTTTGTCGCCAAATATCGCCAAAAGGGCGATTTTTCGCCAGATGTGGCAACCCTGCCTTCCCTTGCCATTTTATTGAAAGTGTGATTTTCAGACCAACAATGCTGGGCAACAGAGGACTTCTGTGTTTCCTTTTTCTAACTCATGTTCCTTAACGCGAAATATCGCGTGCAAAATTCGCTTTGGCAGCAGAGGATGATGGGTTCGGTAAAACCACCGAAACTAGTTCTGTGAAAATTTGCAAATATAGTGTTGAATTTTGTTGTTTGAAGTCCAAATTAATACTTGTTCGGCGTGTTATTTTATCTTAAATGCAGTCTTATCAATGCTGGCAAAACTAAGCAACATGGCCTCGAAAGGCAGAAATACGTTCTATCTAACAATCCGGAAACCTTAGCTTAAATACTCTCTTAACTCATTTACATTTCTGATGAGGAAACAGAAATATGAAGTTACAGTAAATACTGAAATTACAAATAACTGATTCATTTAAATAATAATTCTTACAAGTAAATTAAAATTTTTCCATTTAAGAGGCCTGTGATCAGTCCCAATTTGAGATACTTCGGGATTTCATATAAGATTTGATTTTGATTTATTTAATTATTGAAAAGCACTGGAGGAATGCCTTGATGGACGACCCTCTAAGAGAAACTTGCTAGTATATACGTTACATACGGGAAAACCACGAAAGCGGCTATGCAGCCCACGGTTCGTACGGACCCTACATTCAGCCAGCCCGTTCGCCGGGATTACAATCCCAACCTCCGCACGGACCAAACTACCAGTGTTCAGCGAGTTCACCACTCGGCGGCTGGTCTGTCTTCATAATAAAAAGCAAATTAGTAATAAAAATTTAGAAATTGTGATTCCCTCTCCTATTCAAAAAGAATCAAAAATTTTTATTCTTTTCTTGTGTATAAATAAATGCAATTTGTCTACAGTATGCACGCCTATCAAAAGAAAAAAGATTCGGTTTAAATTAAATGATAATTTCGGTAAACAGATTGCTTTATTTCTTCTTATTATAAAAAAAGAAAACCATTAGCAGTTACCTTAATGATAAACAGATAGCACTTCTTTTCACAAAATGTTTTCATATCTAATTTAGTTCTCCCATTTAACTTTCAACTCTTTCATTCTCTAACTCATTTATCTCTTCATTCCATCCTACAGTTCTCTCCCATAATTACTGAAATAAAATCTTCACTCTAATTACAAATAGTGTAATTAATTCCATAGTTTCATAAATTTTGCAGCTAATTTCAAAACGCTTCTTTTGTGTTCTGTCTACTTTCTAATAACAGCAAAATAGAAGAAATGTCAAAACTAAATTAATCTATTTCGGTGTTCCGAACAATACATAATACCTTCAGTGGTACTGGACAATATTTAGAAACTGAATTAATTTTAAAATCCTGTACCATTCCAGATTTTCGAAGGCTCCTTTGAATTAGTTCACCATTAGGTGCCTTTAGTGCCGGTTTAAGCTCATTTCAGGTCCTGGGCACAGGAGATCTACGGGCCCCTTTGGCACTGGCGGATCCAAGGAGAGGCTCTTGGAAGAAAATTTTAATGTTTAATTTTTACTGTAAAACTATACATAAAAATAAAAAACAAAACAGTATTCTAAAATAGGCGCAGATTATTTTCGCAAAATCATTTACTATTTTTCTAAGGAATTTTTATCTTCAGCTATCGAAATTTATAACCAGAAATTCTGGTTGGATCCAGCCTATCCGGGCCCCTGGGCGCCTGCTTTATCTCTGATAATCCCAATCGACTTTCGCTTGGGGAATTTGTGAGAGAGCCTTTTCGATATCAACCACGAAGTCACTTTTATTTTTTCTGAAATTTAAAAGCATTGCCAATATCAGAGCATACACATCTGATCCCTTTCATAGATTATGATTCAAAGAGAAGCTGTTTCGCTCTTTGAACCCGAAGCATCGTAAACCTACTGTTGATATTGTAGTTTCACTGTCTTTCTTAATAACAGGATGATCGGGCATATAAAACGTTTTGCTTTGAAACACTTCTGTTTCAGGATTTATTTCCTGAATAATACCTTCAACTAAATCCTTTTATATTCTTCATAGAGAGATGCGTTACTCTTAAAACTGTTCTTCGTTTTGCAATATTAAAATTATGGTCTAACATTAATTCCTCCTTGTAAACGGCAAATTTAACTTCATATCTTATACTAAGTACTAATTTTTTTCTGTTTCAAAAATTGTGTCGTTATATCAGAGTAATTCAATCAATTATGTTCATACCAAGATTCAACACCCAAGCTATCAATTTGCCAAAACCTCTTTAATTCTTTATTTATTTGACAGTCAGTGACCCTCTCCTTATTAGTAATCTCTTGTTTATTTTCGTAAGTGACCCTCTCCTTATTAGTAATCTCTTGTTTATTTTCGTAGCCACGCGCGAAGGTTGTTGGCGCCATTACTACACCAGTATAACGCAGCATTTCACTAGAACGAATATTAGATGTTGGACCCTATAACACATATTCTGAACAAAGTCCGAACAGCGTCACTATACGATAAAGAAACGATAAGTCATTGCTTATCTTTTCGCATCCACTCGAATTTATTTCCCAAAAGTGTTCCACGCCTTTCAAATGGTTTCGCGCCTATCAGCAATACATAGTTGGGATTCATGGTAGCGGCATTTCAACAATTTCTGTAATGATTTTTAATGCTTCAATTTCTCTTGTGATTAACGCTTCTATATTCTTCTTAGTGTCATTACACTTTTGTAATTGGATTCTTGTTACTCCTAATAATTTTCACTTCGGATCGCGATTTCTAAATGTATAAAAACTAAATTCTCTTTTCTTATAACTGGAAGTTTTAACTCATCCGCTAATAAATTCCCGATAAAGGAACGTACTGAAACACTACCAAATAATATCGTGGTGGTTTTTTAGGATTAGAACTCTAGCGCGGTATATTTGTAATGGAACTGAATTTGAGACTTTTACTTGCTTGCAAAGTAATACGGACGAAAATATCGTTTGGTATTTACAGTCATTTTCTTTTATATGAACACTTACATGAGGTTGACTTCCAGTTTGTAAAATATAAATAAAGAGGTTCAAAAAGGTTATTTTAAAGCAGGAGTACATGAAAAATGAGCAATTAACGTCGCCGGATAAACGTGGATCTCTCGAATACGCGCCGAGTATGCTACTGTTACGCATATTTCGTAAACGCACATCTATATCGCCACTGAGGGTGTGGCTTCTAGAATGGACCAATAAGCTTCCGGTAATATTTCTATCATTTCACGTGATCCGTGTTTTAAGTAAGATGACACAACAAATGTATTTAATTTATTCATATATAATGTTAACAACAGGTAGAATCAAGTCATTCAAAGTATATATTTTGAATCTTCATTGTAATACTTCCAGTTATTCTCAGCTCAATAAAAAAAATATACATTTAAATTCTATTAATCACTAAATGTTAGTAAATACAGAGTATTCAAAACTAATTCAATTCTTGAGTCATTTTCTCGATGTAAAGAAGGGTAGTATGCCCAAACATTAATCCGAATATTCCAGTGCGCTATAAGTTTTGCGTAAGTGAAATGTTAACGATTAAATAAACTTATTAAATGATAGCATTACGAAATTTTGAACTAAATTGATAGCAGCATTTACACGCTTTACATTTATAACTTCGAAACAAATACAAAATAAAACGTAAACAACAACATGCGCTCATATGCGAATCAGGGTCACAAGAGCAAAAGAAGCTCCTTGATCCATTTTTTAAAACCCCTGACTCAGTGGCGATACTGATTGTGGAGAATCATCATCCGCCACCCTTTTACTTCGAGCGCCACTGGAGAGACATTAGGTTATTTTTAAAGGAGGAGTGATGAAAAATTTGCAACGTCTTCGCCGAGAATCGAACCGCGGACCTTTAGAATACGCGCCCAGCGTGCAGACCACCACACCACGAAGGCATGCGAAGAAGGCGGGAGACTTATAGACAGACAGAGCTTTAGTTAAGTGGAAGCTCATTTCAGTGGAAATGCTTCACTATCAATTGGTATTTTTAATGCTGCATCCGAAGCCAATCATTTAGAAGTGTAAGAGCCTTGAGCCTTAAAAAACTGATAAAATAATTTAACGCGGTAACAAGTAGGAAAGACAAACCTTAGAGCTTTATTCCGGAAAACCTGAAGCTGTTTAAGCAGAGGTAAAACCATGCAAGCAATGAAAGCTAAGTTGAAGGGTAACAACAAATAACGAAGTAAGTGTGTGTGTGTGTGTGATTATGGCAAAGCCTCGAGGGCTATCTGCCTAAGAGGAGGGATGCCTTCGTGGAGGACTTTCTAAGGGAAACTGGCTCGTATACACGTTACACATGGGGAAAACCACGAAAACACCCATGCAGCCAGCCCGTTCGCGGGATTCGAACCTCGGACCGAACTACCAGTGTTCAGCGACTTTACCGCTCGGCCGCTGGTGGGCTAACGAAGTAAGAGGAATCACGAATGAGTAATGCGTGAACGCAGACTGCTAAGGAATTAAAAGAATGGGTGATAAAACCTACAAGTGGCAGAGATAAGCATGGATATAAGATTAGCAAACATCATGAAAGTATAAGATTTTCTTACCAAGAACATAAAATGCAGAAGGCCACCCTCCGGCAAACCCATAATCACATAAGTACCCAGTCAGCGGCATGGACATTACCACCCCAAAATGAGTACCTATCACACAGACGGAGCATAAAGTACTTCTCTCTTGTATTGGGGCCCATCGAGCCAATAATGTGTACGCACTCGGGTAATTCATGCCCTGGAAATAGAATAATTTATTGAAAGCAAATCCACTCATTCACAAGAAAGTTAGACTGAGGAAAGTTACATTATTTATACTACTTACATGAATGAAGCCGAGGCTGATTCGAAGGACAATTAGGTAAGTTTCGGATAAAGTAGAGACTATAGGCGTAAAACAAGTCAGAACGGAAGACAGGAACGTTGCCCCTCCAAAAAGACACTTAGCACCAACGTAATCTGCGACAGTTCCTCCAATAATTTGAGCTATGACGTAGCCATAGAAATAAGAAGCTAGAATGAGTCCTTGAGTGTATGGAGTCCAGGAGTACAAGCCCTGTAAAAATTAAACAACAGTTTTCTCTAACTGTAATATTTGATAAATGTTAAACAATAATGAATATTTATTAATAGACACTTATGGTGCAGGATAAGTTACTTAAGTAATATTTTTAAATATTAGCCGTAATATCACGCCAACTGCCCCTCTTCCGGCAAAATGAGTTACCTCCAAGTCAACCATATTGTTTCACATCATGTTCTCCATTACATAGTATATGAGGAAGACCGTAAAGAAAGTATCATTCAGTGCCTAAAATACGAAGAATGAGTACATGACTTAAGTGCTGGAGTTAACAAGAAAATGGAAAACTATCTTAGTGGTTATTGTTGTAATTAATTGTGTAAATATATTAATTGAGAAAACATAAAGTTTTATTATAATTGGCCAATTTTAAACGTAGGTGCAATTTGAAGCGACTTAAGCTATAGGTGGTGGGACTTAGGTTACTGGATTTCTAAATCGCATTAAGTTTCTGTTAATATTTTTTTTATTGTAATAAATATCAGCAACGACAATACAAGATAGTATTAGCACACGTAAGTTTAATTTTTTTTTTTTTATAGATCCTACAATTTATGCCTATTTTTCCTTAGGGGGTACACATACATATGCAACCTTAGCCTAATGTAAAAAGGAATGTCATTTTGCAGTTAACTTATTTCACTTCTGTTAGTTAGCAGTCAAGTTAACTGCAAAATTCAAACTTAGATAACGTAATGTAATTTACGCTATCTGCGTTGCGTTGTGCTTAACGTTCTTAGTAGTTTGAAGTGCTGTACTCTGTGATACTGTGAACACCTGTACGAGTATTTCTGGGAAAAATTCCAGAACTCTGAAGTGTTTCTTTTGATAAAATAAATTTTATTAGCCTATCATGGACCTATGTGCATTCAATCTATTACGAACTCTACCCACGCAAAAATATAATGAATTATACTCAAATACTTACTAAAATTTGCAATAATCAGCAAAAATTATTTGATTGTTAGAATGAATAGCTCTGTTAGGTTTCCGGCACATATCATTCTATTCTGTATATATTAACCTCTATCAAAGAATGTCTACCACAAAAGAATCTTGTATTAATGTTTACCATTTTTCATTTTCTTGGGGTTTCCTCAGATTAGTTTCTTTGGTTTTTACTTCATGATTTGTGTACGACTGAATAATTTTTGTACGTCTTTTTTACTTCCTTGTAGGAAGTAAAGGAAGTATTGCAATCATGAAAAAATTCGGTACCATATTTCAAGGAAAATACCCATTTAAATCACTATCGAATGCAATTTAAGGATGTTTTTGCGTGACATCTATACGTAAGAACAGAATAAAGGACTCTTTTTCCCCAAACGGATCATAAAACTGTTGTAAAATGGATTCAGAAGAGATTTTTTCGTGGCGTCTGTATGTACGTTGGTACGTATGTATGTACGTATCTCGCATAACTCAAAAGCGAATAGCCTGAGAGCGTTGAAATTTTGTACGTGGGACTGCTATAACATGTAAATGTGCACCTCCCTTTTTGGTTGCAATCGGCCGCACCAAAAGTATATAACTATATATAGTATATATATATATATATATATATATCCACTGTGTTACTCAGTGTATTTCAGTGCATTGTGCATTTTTTGCTTTAAAAATGATTGAATTATGTTGGTCTTATCTTCCGGTTAAGAATTTTATGCCTTTAGTTAACCTGCATGTTATAGTTGTAGAATTATCAACAATTTAAAAGGCCCTTAAGTGCGGCTAAGCCTAATATTTTTACCATAGCAGCCATGATTGTTTACATTTGGCACTTAGCAGAATATTGGATTTGTTTCCAATCTAGATAAACTAGGCTTCGCAACAACAAAGTAACGTCTTCTTTTATTATTGCGAATAAAATTTGCTAAATTCAGCCAGAGTATCGCTATGGTAAATAAATATAGCGAATTTTAAAAAGCGCATTTATTCTTTTGTGGTTTATGGGCTGTCGACGAAGCAGATTTTATTTAATTCAATAAGTGAAATGCAGGAAAAAATGCGTATAATTTAATATTTTGTACAAGGAAGTCATGTGGTGTACACATCAGATTTTTTTTCAGTTATTTTCCTAACTTTATGATGACAATGCCCATAATTCATTCTATCCATACAAGAATTTATGTAAGCATAAAAAGGAAATTACTGAAACGTAATATAAATTAGCGCGGAGTAAATATGGATTAAGCATTGGAATAACACATTTTTAGCCCTTTAAGGGCTGAATTCTCCAACGTTGCACATGATGTGGAATCTCATTTGTTAAAACATAGTATACTCTGGGTTGAAAGATTTTAAATTTTGATGGAAGATTCTTCCAATAGTATTAGAAAACATTTGAAATGAAATTGCGGAAGCTTAAGAAAATTATTTATTTCAGTTAATACTGAAATCGTTTTAATCATCGATATTAAAAATAACATTTGTTTATATTTTTAACTTTGACAAGAGAAGAAATCCTTGATTATAACTGACACATATTAGATGTAGATTATCAGAGCAACTCTATGTTTTTAAACTTCTCGTCCTTGGACTGATTTCTAAACTTTGCGTGTGCATCCTAGCCGTAATCTAATCTTATTCTTAATCTACTTAGTTAATGATCATCAATCTATTAAAGCTTTGCAGCCATATATACGCAGACTTTTCTTTTAAACGTTTACGCATCGTAGATATTGAATGAATGCCTGCCGAAAAAAATAGCGGTCGAGACGTCGTAGAGAACAAAACAACAAAGGGAAAATGATTTCCCCTTGTAATTTTCCTTTTGTAAAAAATATCGTCAGAGAAAGAAAGAAAAGAAAATAACACAGCAATTCTAAACACCGTGGTAGAATATAAAGCAGTTCAAAAACTTCATGTTTAAGATATACACTCTAAAAGCAATTTTTTTTTTACCATGATATCAAAATATCACAATAAATAAATAAATAAATAAATAAATAAAGCATCGACAAAACATCACATGATGATAAGATATCAGATGCGTTTTCTGACTAAACATTTTTCTTAATACTACAATTTCTTAATATTATTTTAATGATTTGGGAGCACAAGAACTAAAGTAATATTTCTAAACCTATATTTTTGCATTGACTAATAAATTTTCACCGAAAAAGAAAATTGAATTTATGTATTTAAAACTTTTAAATTAGTAAAATTAATCATATACTATATAGCAATGTATACAATTATAAACTTGTGTTGCTAATTAATAAAAATCATTTTTTAACTAACCTCTTTCGTAAAGACGTATCAGTAGATTTTCATGAAGCATACAGCATTGGTTGTACAGACCCCAGGAGGCAGTGGAAGGGTACTGAGGGGCGATGAACTTATTTTGGGAGGCAGGGAAGTAGCAAGCATGTTTTGGGCTGTAGGGGGAGATGAGCGTGTTTTGGCATTCGAACTTAATTTAAAACTTCCCCAAAAATGTATTAAATCGATTATCCGATTCCTTAACTTAAGGATTATTTTGCATTGACTAATAAATTTCCACTGAAAAAAAAAATTGAATTTATGTATTTAAAGCATTGAAATTAGTAAATATTAATGTTATATGGAATATATAGCAATGCATAGAATTATAAATTTTTGTTGCTAACTAATAAAAATCCTTAAAGTAAATAAATAAATCTGAAAACTTCGGATTTTATAATTACGCTCGAAGGGGCGTCTTTCTTAATGTTTTGTGTGTTACTTTTATTTATTAAATATCATGTTCTTCGCACTTAAACCATAAAATTCAATTCAACAGCAATGCCACAAAATAAATTAAAAAGAACGCGTATTTCGAATTTCCGATACACAGTCTAGCGCGCTGGAGGTAATTTTTTTTCCCCGTGTAATTTTGCCATTGCTAGCTTTGAATTGGATGAGTTTTAAATCGAAAATTCCTTAAAGTTTTACAAAATATGAAATAGATAATAAAACAAGTTCCAAATTCTAAATTTGGGCTTCCAGATGCCCATATACGTTCCAGATGCCCATTACGTTCCAGATGCCTACTGCGTTCCAGATGCCCATTGCGTTCCCACTGCGTTCTAGATGCCTACTGCGTTCCAAATGCCCATTACGTTCCAGATGCCTACTGCGTTTCAGATGCCCATTACGTTCCAGATGCTACTGCGTTTCAGATGCCCATTACGTTCCAAATGCCTACTGCGTTCCAGATGCCCATTGCGTTCCAGATGCTACTGCGTTCTAGATGCCTACTGCGTTCCAGACGCCCATTACGTTCCAGATGCTACTGCGTTCCAGACGCCCACTGCGTTCCAAATGCCTACTGCGTTCCAGATGCCCATTACGTTCCAGATGCCTACTGCGTTCCAGACGCCTTGGCAGTTCACGACTGCCAAAATATCACACATATATATACTATCATAATAGCAAGGAAAAGACGGAGCAGTGTCGATGCGTAATACCCAGTTAGGATTTATCGTAGATTCATGTTGAAAAGGAAGCATTCTGATTGCATCGTATGTTAATGTGTTGACTTAATAATATCTAAGAAATTTGGCACTCGAGGCAGTTTTAGAAAAATTAAGAATATGTAAAAGATTAAATTAGCAGCTTAAATTCCCTTCTGTATTATAAAAATAGTAATCTCTCTGCACTGCGTAATTTCTAAATTAATCCATGTCATACGATTCTTACATAATTCTGGTGATGTAAATGGAACTAAAACTCAGACAGCCAATAGTAATTTCACAGCAATATTAACTATCCAATCAAAATGCATTGAAAACCAAAACTAACGCAGTCTGAACTAAGATTTCACGCACTTGCTTTCTACGCTTTGGTCTAGCTGCATTGCTATTTGTCAGCTCTTTTTTTCTTACTGCAAATTTATCTAAAATGTAAGCTTTTTGGAATAGGCACAATTAATGTGCCAAATTGTTTTGGCCGCAATATGTTTGCTAAAATAAAAAATGAATATTTAATATGCCTTCGCCTCCGATTTCCGGTTTATATTATGGATCAACACTTCTACGCCATCAAAATTTTTGCTTGTCATTACTTCTAAGTTTGTTTTTATTACATATATATAATTGGGTAGAAGATTAAAGCAGTTTCATTAAAAATATCTGAACATCAGTATCATTATTGTAAGTGGTTAATTATAAATACCTTTATAACAGACTGTGGAGCATTCAAAGTCACATTTGGTAACGGACAGTGGTTGGCGTCTCTGACATAGTTTTCATCATTTTCGGGTGTCCGCAGTTCAGTGCTTGTATTAACCATGGCAACCATTGCGACGCTTAGGCACACTCTGTGGCCAAACATAAGACACATCCCAAAAAATAGTAATAAAGTGAGGATATATCGTGCTGGAAACATATCTGCATTTAAAACAGAAGAAAATCCTTCATTTGCAATGTGTAAGAGATTAAAAAGTAATGTATGAAGGTTCATAGCACAAATTTCAAGAAAAACCTTAGACGATAAAAATATAATAAAAAGGGTAATGAAATACTCGTATTTTCATTGATTCTGTTTATAATAATTACTATTGTTTGTTACTAAATTCTCAAAACTCTGTTAAATCCTGTAGAGAAAAGTAAGAAGAGTGGGAAAAAAGTGTTGAAAACAACACAACATTGTGAGGATTTATTTATTTATTTTGACTAATAGTTAGTTTTTACTCTAAGCAACCTTCCTTTCGTTTTCATTTTCTCCCGCTCTTTCCTTCCATAATGTTAATGAGATAGCGCTCCGTTATTCAAATTAAGGGAGAAAGAAGTGCTTAAGCGAAGGTTTCGTAAGGTGATTTTAGAGCCTGTTATGCCTGTTTGAAAGCCATATTGTTACTTTGACTTGATAGCGATTTGGTTCTATTGTATCGGTTGCTACATCATAAACGTGGGCCAGCAAATAAAGTATCGGTTGCTACATAACAAACGTTATTTTTCTGGGTTAAGAATAAATTTATGCTACTAAAAAAAAAAAAAAAAAAAAAAAAAAAAATCTGAAATGTTAAATTACGTCCAAAGGGGCGTTTTTTAACATTTTGTGTGTTACCTTTCTTTATTAAATATCATGTTCCTCGCACTTAAACCATAAGATCCAGTGCAAACAGCAATATCGCAAAATAGTTTTTAAAACGAGCATATCTTTAGAATTTCCGATACAGAGACTCACGCGCTGGAGATAAAAATGTTTTTTCTGCACAACGTTGCCATTGCTCGCTTTGAAATCCTTGAGTTTGTTAATCAAAAATTCGTCAAAGTTTTAAAAAATAGGAAATCGATCATAAAACAAATTTCAAATTTCAAATTTGGTCTTCCACATGCTCATATTCGTTGGAGGATTACGTTATTCAAAATTCGATGACTCTATGTACCGTTGTTTTATCACAATACGAGAAATATACATACTTTATTGCAGATTTTTCATTATTTAATTTCTTCAAATATAATGCAGGACTCTAACATTTTGTGGCAACAGTTTGAAAAGTGAACCGACATTTATGAGTCCGACGCAAAATGCCAAAACGAAACTAATAGTCCTTCGGGATTCAAATCCCTTTGGACTAAAAAACTAAACTCAGTTTTAAACTGACTCAGGACTAAAAAACTAACACTAACTACTAAGTTAACTACTACTGAGTTAAAAAACTCAACTCAGGACTAAAAAACTAAACAGCCCTAATGGGCCTCCCGAAATCTGCTTTTCTTGACTGTGGGCCCCGGTGTGCGTAAGAATATACCATGAACAAGTGGTCAGCTTGTCGCAGGACTCCCAGTGTTTAGTCCCCAAGCGAACTTGTTACTCATTTTATCGACCCAAGTGATGGAAATCCATTGATGAAAGGCTGAGTCGACCTTGCCCAGCCCGGGAATCGGACCCCGGACCTAAGATGTTGCTGCGCGATGCGCTAGCCACTGCGCCATTGGGCCTCACTGAATTTAAAAGAAAACAATTTATTATTCACGTTTTAAAGATGTTCTTTTTTAAGCAACATCATTCTACGACTTTTTTTCGTTTCTACTGTTGCCTTGTCACAGTCTATATAAAGTTGTACAAAAGAAAAGATTATATATGATTTGTAGACGTTACGCTGTGATGTTGAGTGTTTCTAGCCATTCTGTGGCTTTGAGTGCTTGTTTCCGCCAGTTTCTCCGAAACGCCTCTTTGGGCTAAAAATATTTAAAAACAGTATATCTTTAGAATTTTCGATAGATAATCTCGCGCACTGAAGATAAAAATGTTTTATTCCGTACTATATTGCCACTGATCTCTTTGAAATCGTTGCGTTATTCAATAAAAATATCCGTTAAAGTTTCACAAAATAAGAAATAGATAATAAAAACAAATTCGAGCTTCCAGGTGCTCATATTCGGATGGAGGACTACATTATTCAAAATTTGAGGGCTTTAGGTTGCTTTTTTTTCACAAAGCGAGAAACATTCATGCAGATTCTTTATCATTTAATTTCTATAAGTGGACGGTGGACTTCAAAATAGCTAAAAATCAACCAAAATATTGAATTTTTTTTTTTTACTGTCGTAATATTCCATATACAAAAGTACATTATATGCAAAAAACCGAGTTCAAATATTCTAATTTTTAAAGAAGTTACAAGCATTAAAATGTAAAAAATTTATTTCAACAGCTATTTACTGATGTTATAATTTATATATTTGCCCAAAAGAAGTGTTTATTTCTTTAAGAAATGCTAGAAATGTCAAAAAGTATTGACAACTATTAATGAATTTAACTTTGGTTAAGGAAATAAATACTATACGCGTAGAACAGGAGGAAAAAACTGGTTTTCCTACTTACTCGTGGCAAAAATAGCGTGATCAACGTCGCTTGAACCAAAGCAAACAGAGGAAGTTTACCTGCTTGGAAAAAAAACAGAAATAGTAAAAAATATTGTAAAGCATTAAACAGATAACTGTAAATGTGACAAATGAAGGTAAAATATAATGATTCAGGGGAATATTAAAAGTCTCATTGGATATATAATGCATAAATTGTTTCTACCTCTAACTTCGAATCACATACCAGTTTGTGATATGTTTATTTTTCTCAATTTACTGATGTTATAATTTGTATATTTGCTCAAAAGAAGTGTTTATTTCTTTAAGAAATGCTAGAAATGTCAAAAAGTATTGACAACTATTAATGAATTTAACTTTGGTTAAGGAAATAAATACTATACGCGTAGTAGAACAGGAGGAAAAACTGGTTTTCCCTACTCGTGGCAAAATAGCGTGATCAACGTCGCTTGAACCAAAGCAAACAGAGAAGTTTACCTGCTTGGAAAAAAACAGAAATAGTAAAAAATATTGTAAAGCATTAACAGATACTGTAAATGTGACAAATGAAGGTAAAATATAATGATGCAGGGGAATATTAAAAGTCTCATTGGGTATAATGCATAAATTGTTTCTACCTCTAACTTCGAATCACATACCAGTTTGTGATATGTTTATTTTTCTCAATTTACTGATGTTATAATTTGTATATTTGCTCAAAAGAAGTGTTTATTTCTTTAAGAAATGCTAGAAATGTCAAAAAGTATTGACAACTATTAATGAATTTAACTTTGGTTAAGGAAATAAATACTATACGCGTAGAACAGGAGGAAAACTGGTTTTCCCTACTCGTGGCAAAATAGCGTGATCAACGTCGCTTGAACCAAAGCAAACAGAGAAGTTTACCTGCTTGGAAAAAAACAGAAATAGTAAAAAATATTGTAAAGCATTAACAGATACTGTAAATGTGACAAATGAAGGTAAAATATAATGATTCAGGGGAATATTAAAAGTCTCATTGGATATAATGCATAAATTGTTTCTACCTCTAACTTCGAATCACATACCAGTTTGTGATATGTTTATTTTTCTCAATTCACTGATGTTATAATTTGTATATTTGCTCAAAAGAAGTGTTTATTTCTTTAAGAAATGCTAGAAATGTCAAAAAGTATTGACAACTATTAATGAATTTAACTTTGGTTAAGGAAATAAATACTATACGCGTAGAACAGGAGGAAAACTGGTTTTCCCTACTCGTGGCAAAATAGCGTGATCAACGTCGCTTGAACCAAAGCAAACAGAGAAGTTTACCTGCTTGGAAAAAAAACAGAAATAGTAAAAAATATTGTAAAGCATTAACAGATACTGTAAATGTGACAAATGAAGGTAAAAATATAATGATTCAAGGGAATATTAAAAGTCTCATTGGATATAATGCATAAATTGTTTCTACCTCTAACTTCGAATCACATACCAGTTTTGTGATATGTTTATTTTTCTCAATTCACTGATGTTATAATTTGTATATTTGCTCAAAAGAAGTGTTTATTTCTTTAAGAAATGCTAGAAATGTCAAAAAGTATTGACAACTATTAATGAATTTAACTTTGGTTAAGGAAATAAATACTATACGCGTAGAACAGGAGGAAAACTGGTTTTCCCTACCCGTGGCAAAATAGCGTGATCAACGTCGCTTGAACCAAAGCAAACAGAGAAGTTTACCTGCTTGGAAAAAAACAGAAATAGTAAAAAATATTGTAAAGCATTAACAGATACTGTAAATGTGACAAATGAAGGTAAAATATAATGATTCAGGGGAATATTAAAAGTCTCATTGGATATAATGCATAAATTGTTTCTACCTCTAACTTCGAATCACATACCAGTTTGTGACATGTTTATTTTTCTCAATTTACTGATGTTATAATTTGTATATTTGCTCAAAAGAAGTGTTTATTTCTTTAAGAAATGCTAGAAATGTCAAAAAGTATTGACAACTATTAATGAATTTAACTTTGGTTAAGGAAATAAATACTATACGCGTAGAACAGGAGGAAAACTGGTTTTCCCTACCCGTGGCAAAATAGCGTGATCAACGTCGCTTGAACCAAAGCAAACAGAGAAGTTTACCTGCTTGGAAAAAAAAAACAGAAATAGTAAAAAAATATGTAAAGCATTAACAGATACTGTAAATATGACAAATGAAGGTAAAATATAATGATTCAGGGGAATATTAAAAGTCTCATTGGATATAATGCATAAATTGTTTCTACCTCTAACTTCGAATCACATACCAGTTTGTGACATGTTTATTTTTCTCAATTTACTGATGTTATAATTTGTATATTTGCTCAAAAGAAGTGTTTATTTCTTTAAGAAATGCTAGAAATGTCAAAAAGTATTGACAACTATTAATGAATTTAACTTTGGTTAAGGAAATAAATACTATACGCGTAGAACAGGAGGAAAACTGGTTTTCCCTACCCGTGGCAAAATAGCGTGATCAACGTCGCTTGAACCAAAGCAAACAGAGAAGTTTACCTGCTTGGAAAAAAACAGAAATAGTAAAAAATATTGTAAAGCATTAAAAGATATTGTAAATGTGACAAATGAAGGTAAAATATAATGATGCAGGGGAATATTAAAAGTCTCATTGGGTATAATGCATAAATTGTTTCTACCTCTAACTTCGAATCGCATACCAGTTTGTGATATGTTTATTTTGTGATATGTTTATTTTTCTCAAATTTAATATTATGAAATTAAAATAGTTAAATGATACGAAAATGTTATTTAGTGTCTACATATTCATATTTAAAGTTAATTTGCTGTTTCTCATGGCCATGTATTAAAGGTAAGTTTGAAGAAAATCTTTAAATTCGGTTTTCTCAAAAGAAAATTTTTCGCAGTTCGTATCTCTTGAAAATGCTCCATGCGTCTCATTTTTAGTTAAAAATGAATTATATTTGGAAGAAACTATCTTGTTATATGTTACAGTAGATCTAAGTATGCATTTTTGGATATGAGAAGATTTTTTGGATATTAAGAAATTTAAACTTGTGGTAATGTTTAACAAAAGGTGACATTTTCCCGAAAAATGGGTTTAAGTTCACAAAATCCTTTTTAAAAATTTCTGATCTATCATGTTAAATAATGGATACACTAAAACCTTTTTCAAGTCTTTATAACTAACTTAAAGGAAAAATTAGTAAAAAAATATTGAAAAATAGCGCGCAAGGAGCATTTTAAATCTTTAATTAAAACAATTAATTATTTGTTTAAAATTTTTTTAATTTAAAATAAATTAAAATTTTGATCATATATTTTATAAACTTATGTTATAATACGTAGATGTATAAAATTTCTTGTTGAAAACACAAAAACTTAAAAAACTAAATTTTAAAGACCACCGTCCTTTTAAATATAATACAGGGAGATAATATTTGGTGGCAACAATTGCAAAAGCGATTCAACTCTTTTAGTAATTCGACGCAAAATGCTGTTTCGAGACTATTGAAAAAAAAAGAGTTTTACATTCGTAAGAAAAACAAAGTTAGAATAAATAATTTAATTAATTATTTCTGGAATTAACTTACCTTTTTTGGTTGTCTCTTTCGGAGAATAATTTAACTGAGCCATTGTTGTGATTATGTCATTCAAAAGTAGTTGCTTACTCCAATCAGTCAACAGTTGCTGCTGCTTCTTAGGTCCACACTGTTACTACATGTGCGATGCGAGGCGATGCATGCAATCGTTATCAGCATGAATCTGACATCAAATAAAAAGAAAGATTTGACGAAGGACAGATGGATGAAATGAAAGAGTTCAAAGGAATCGAAATTTCTGATTTCACAAGCATAACGTATCTCCTGTGTAGATGGTGGACTTATTAGTATTATTTAAATAATATTTCATTAAATGATTCAAAAACAGCAAGTATTTGAACTTCTTTTTAGCTGGAAAGGGCTATTAGTCTGGAAAACGATTTTGCGTTGTTTCTCTTTCAGTCCAGTCCGTTGCCATTCGGAAAAACGTAAGATATATTTCTTTCATATTTAATCTGCCCGTTATTAATTAGCAAGCTAAACTGCTTAAAAGCAATAAATATTTTTAAGAATCCAATCAGCAGCAATAAATTCTTAGGAACATTACATTTTTATGCTTGAATTGGTTTGATTTAAATAAACATGCATTGAATTCATGATACATCTAATTAAAAACATTTAGTATTTTTATAGATGTAATACCGTACAAAATGTTTCTCTATTCCACCTGCACCATCTCTATTGATAATCTCTATTGTAAAGCATATTAAACTTTAAAACAGCTCATTTGGTCGACTGCTAAAAATCAAAACAATTTCAGATTTAAGTTTTGACTTCCTTGTACGAAGGAAAAAATCTGATGTGTACATCACATGACTTCCTTGTGCGGAATATTAAATTATACGCATTTTTTCTTGCATTTCATTTAAACTTATTGGATTGAATTAAATCTACTTCGCCGGCAGTGCATAAACCACAATACAATAAATACATTCTGTAAAATTCACTCTATTTGTTTACCATAACGACACTCTGGCGCTAAATTCACTTAACAGTATTATATTTCGTTCATATTATAACTAAAAATGCACAAAATGTATATCATTTAAAAAATAGAATTATCTAATTGTTGCCACATGTTCTATTCAAATACTATAATAAAGCTAGAACGATGTATAAAAGAAATTAAGCAAACAAAACAAAGAAGAAACAGTTTTTCACAGACGATTGAGTATTTCTCATTCAATTAATTCAGTTCTCATTTCGCGACAAGGCAAAAATACATAAAAACTCAAAACATCTGTATTAAAAATTACGAAGTAAATCTTAAACACCTATTTCCTGGAAAATAATCCAGAAAGGATTAAGCATGATTTAATTCGCAATAATAAATGAAGACATTATCTTTGTTGTTTCGAAGCTAAGTTTCTCTAGATTGGCAACGAATCCACTAGTCTGCTGTTTCAAATGTAAACAAGCAATGGCCGCCATTAAAAAAATATTAGGCTTAGCGGCACTGAAACAACTTTAAAATTGTTGATAATTCTAAAAATGTTGCATACAGATTTACTAAAGGCATAAAAACCTTAACCGGAAGATAAAAACAACATAATTCAATCATTTTTAAAGCAAAAAATGTACAGTTAACAAACATATAAGAGTAAAGAAACTGAGATCACTGGGCCGAGTAACATAGTGGATATATTTATATACGTTTGGTGCGGCCGATTGCAACCAAACTACGAGGTGTACATCTACATGTTATAGCAGTCCTATATACAAAATTTCAACGTTCTGAGGCTACTTGTTTTTGATTTATGCGAGATACGTACGTACTCGTACGTACATGACCGCTATCGAATGCAATTTAACGATTGTTTTGCATAACATCTGTACGTAAGGACAGAATAACATACTCGTTTCCTCCAAAAAAATTATAAAACTGCTTTAAAATGAATTCTGAAGAGAATTTTTCCTGGCGTCTGTACGTACGTATCTCGCATAACTCAAAAACGAGTAGCCTCAGAACGTTTAACTTTTGTATGTAGGACTGCTATAACATGTAGATGTGCACCTCGTATTTTAGTAGCAATCGGCCGCACCAAACGTATATAAATATATTTATATATATATATCCACTCTGTTACCCTACTCAGTTATCTCAGTTTCTTTACTCTTATATGTTTGTAAATTGTGCATTTTTTGCTTTAAAAATTATTAAATTATGTTGTTCTTATCTTCCGGATGCCTTTAGTAAATCTGCAAGCAATATTTGTACAATTATCAACAATTTAAAAGCTGTTTAAGTGCGGTCTTCGAGCATCTGTTGTAACATTCAAGCCGTCGTACGCCATTTGTATTCATATCCAATAAATGTTTCGAGTTAATCACTCTTGCTTCTTTTCCCATCTTCTACCTCTGCTACTACTATTTACCCCTGATATTTCCGGGTATAGGTCCTATGCAGTTCCTAATCCTTATGATGTTCCCTACCTCCCCTAGAAGTTTGTCGCAACATTTACGGTACACCGTGTATATTATATATTTATATAACTTTCGTTGAGATTATTTTTGTTGCATTTTTTTGTTGTACTAATGCAAATTGAGCCAAAACGTTATCAATGAACGCAATCAACAAGTAAGCAAGCAAGTCAGATCTCTAGATTACCAATAAGTAATCTTGAATTTATCAGAATTAAAAGCATCTGCCTGAATAAACAAAATGTTTTCGTAAACTGCATCATGTTTGTTATTTGGGCCATATTTTTTGATAAAGGAACTGTTATTATATAATATATTCCAAGGATTATTTCTTACTTATCTATCTGAGTGTTTATTCTTGACTCTTGCCTATCGCCTGCTTGTCAGCAGAGTATGAAAATAAAAAAGAAAACCATAGTGATAATAGTTTCGAAGATAAAAATTAAATAATCCCTGTTTAAAATTTATCATTTAGCCTTCAGTTTTGTTTCTTATAGTAAGATGACTGTGAATGTTAATTCAGATATTTCTATTTATAGAATTATGCGAATAGCTATTTTTGCGAAAATGAAATGTGTAAATTATACGTACGGGCTAAAATAATTCCTGAAGCTAATTTGATAATTTTCTTTTTGTTTGTACGTATTTCTATAAAATGTCGTTTAGCTTAATTAGAAAAGTGATTTTCAGATGCATGATAAAAGTATGGAAAACATCAGCATTTCGTTTAATTTGTGCATCATTTGGAAGAATATTTTTATTAATTAAAAGTCATTTCTTTTCCTAAATATTGTGCTATTTCTTTTACTAGCTGTTTGCGCGGTATGCAGCATAAAATAGTTATCATATAACGAAAAAGATATATAAGGATTTTAATGATTCCATTTAGTGTAATTTCATAAAACTATTTAATCTTTCTAATTAGACATTTCTGATTTAAATGCATTTTTAATAAATCAATCAGATAAAAAAGGTAAAAAAATATAAATATTATAAATTATATGTGATTAATATTATAAATAATTTTAAGAACAGCGTTTATTGATTTAAAATCCCATGGTTTGTTAATCAACAATAGACAGGTTAAATTTGACGCTTTGTTTAATAGTAAAACGCCAGTATGTGGAAGTTGAAAGTATTTTATAAGCAACGGATTTATTTATTTTAAATAGTTCAGTTTATTAGTTAAAGTTTTAAAAAAAATCTGAAAGGTTTCAGATTTTAAGTTACGTTCAAAGGGGCGTTTTTTAACGTTTTGTGTGTTAACTTTATTTATTAAATATCATGTTCTTCGCACTTAAATCATAAATTTCAGTTCAATAGCCATGTCGCAAAATAATTTTAAAATGAGCCTATCTTTAGAATTTCCGATACACAGTTCCGCGCGCTGGAGATAATTTTTCCCCCTGTAGATTGTTGCCATTGCTCCCTTTCAAATCGTTGAGATTGTTACTCAAAAATTCGTTAAAGTTTTACAAAATATGAAATCGATCAAAAAACAAATTCCAAATTTCAAATTTGGGCTTTCACATGCTCACATTCGCAGGAGGATTACGTCATCCAAAATTCCATGGCTCTATGGACCGTTGTTTTATCACAATGCGAGAAATAGACATACTTTTATGCAGATTTTTCATTATTTAATTTTCTTCAAATACATAATGCAGGACTCTACGATTTGGAGGCAAAAGTTTGAAAGTGAAACGGACATTTATAGCGATTCAACGTAAAATCGCAAAACGAAAGCAATAATCCTTCAGGGACGAAGCCCGTTTTGGACTAAAAAAAATTGAAAGGATTCAGATTTGAAATTACATACAAAGGTGTGTTTTTTTTACTTTTTGTGTGCTACCTTTATTTATTAAATATCACGTTCTACGTACTCAAACCGTAAAATTTAGTTCAACAGCAATATAGCAAAATAATTTTAAAATGAGCATGTCTTGAGAATTTCGGATACAGTCTCGTGCGCTGGAGATAATTTCTTTTTCCGTACAGTGTTGCCATTGCTCGCTTTGAAATAATTTAGTTTGTTAATCAAAAATTCTTTGAAGTGTTACAAAATATGAAATCGGTAATAAAACAAATTTCAAATTCAAATTAGGGCTGCCACATGCGCATATTCTATGGAAGATAACGTTATTAAAATTTTTTATGGCTCTAGGTACCGTTGTTTTATTAAAATGCGAGAAACATGCATACATTCTTGTAGATTCTTCATTATTTAATTTCTTTAAATGTAATACAGGGCGATAACATTTAGTGGCAACAATTTAAAAAGTGAAACAACGCTTATCGTCAATCGACGCAAAACGCCAAAATGAAATTAATAATCCTTCTGTGCATATCGCTCCTTTGGAGAAATAAACATCTTTCATTTAACCGAATGGCAACAGTCTGGTGCTCTGGAGATAAAATATTTTATTTCGAACAGTGTTGCCAATGCTCGCTTTCAAATCGCTGAGTCTATCAATCAAAAATTCATTAAACTTATGCAAAATATGAGATAAATAAAAAAAAAAATGCGAAATCAAAATTCGGGCTGCGAGATGCCCATATATGGCTGGAGGACTATGCGTTCTTAAAATCTTGTGGCTCTAGGTGACGTCGTTTTTGAACATTTAAAATTGAAATTCGTTTTGGATTTGTATAGAATTATTGAATTCTCCTTCGTAAGCTTTCTGGGCGAAACTATTTAGAATTTATAGCTAACCAAGAAGAAGATCCGTCGTTCGAATTCCGGCGAGAGCTGTGTTGACTTTTTATATTTCTTGCTACGGCAAATATAATAGCATCTATAAGCTGATTTTGTGTTTCAGTCAGTAGTAAAAACATAGTTTTGGAAACTGGCAACGCCAGATATTATTTTTATTTCAGAACAGAAATCGAAGTACATGTCGGTTATAATGGCAATTCAAAATGAGCTATCGATGCCATTCATAATAATAATACAATTCCTTTAGATGGTAGATGCAAAACGTACGCATGTGATAAGAATATACTAAATTCAGTTAGTTGTACAATGACAGTACTATCTATGACAAACTTTGTTCTCCTTATAATAAGCATCAAATATATGTGCATGGTTTTCTTACTAGTATTTAACTTCATACAGATATAATCTCAATAATAATTTTTTTCTCAAAGTGTTAGGTGGCAATCTAAACTTTTGGGATTATAAATTTCTCCTCTCTATAACGTTGCCAAACTTTGATTCAACCGTTTTTGAAAGAGCTTTATTTTATTACAAAATTCCATTTTGCAATTCATAAACATATTTCACAAATGTCTTTTTACGAGGAAGAAACGTGATTTAACTATGTTAGCAGAAATTATAGAACAACTGCTGTTTAAACAAGCAGGAAATTAAGCGAAATATTTACATTTTTTTCAAGTCATTCAGTCAAAGCTGAAGCTAAATTTAGTTGATGTGTTATGTCGAGCTTATGAACTATGGAAAGACTTTACGAGGTAATCAGTTTTAAGTTATTTTTTTTTGAAAAAAATTAAAATAATATATTATTGGTATCAATTACTATGCACGTAAAATTACCCAATTTTATTCATAAATAGTGCTACTTTGAATCTATTTTCCAGATTTAATAGAATTAGAAATACAAGTAAAATATATTTTATATATGTTTAATGTACATTATTTATACATTTTGAACTTAAAATGCCTAAAAGTAATATTCCATATAAAACCTTTCTTGTATATTTTGCGTACTTAACTTTTTTCAGGAAAATCTGTAATAGTTTTGAAAATTAAAAATCATAATAAGTATGTTTCAGATTTAAAGAAAAAAATATTAACCCTGATAACGCTTCCCTATTAACATAAAATGATGATGATTCAAAGAAAATTTCTTTATGCAAGATATTGTCTGTTACAAAAAACTTATTTCACTTATATCCGATCTGTTTATTTTTCTTGGTGATAATTGGAAGGAGATTAAATGGATTTGAAATAATGAATTCTGGTGATTATTTTATACTTTATAAATTTTACTAAGATATACATGACTTCATTATACATCGGTTTTTCAACAGCTGAAGAACAGCCAGTAAATAAGCGATAAATCTACTAAAACTTAATTCACTAACCAAGAACGAAATATAGCATAAACATTAATCTAAATTTCATCCGTCTATGTTATCAGGTAGAAAAATAAAAACGGATATTTGCGATGGACTCTATATATAAATTATAAAAATGAAGAAAAAATGCCCAATTTTTCACATTATTTGCCAATGTTTTGTTGCGGAGGGCTTTTTTCCGCTTGGAGAAGCACCAAATGCCTTCAGATGTGCAAAATCTTCGTTTTGTTTCCCCGTTGTTCGTAGATTTTGGCAACAGCTCTTAAGATGGCGGCTCCTCAGCCAAAAGATTTATTCGTGGAACACCTGTAATAGTCTGTAATTAGTTAGGAGTCATATTTAAGATCGATTTAGGCGGTTAATTTCAAAACAGGTAAAGAATTCCATTGAGATTCAATTACCATTATCTCATATAGCAACTATGAACAGTATTATATCAACTTTTATGTAATGTAGAAGGCTTCATGATGAAAGACTTTATACAATAGTTGACTTTTGTAGCGCACTTGGGGAGAAGGTGGAATTGGCTCGCTTCTGCATTGGCGAGAAACAAACGGTTACCGATCAAACTGTTTTTCGTAATTACGTTGCGTCATAATAGCGGTTTTTTCATTGTAAAATGCTCATTATGCTTACTATTTTCAGTGTGAAAATAAGTTCTAGTTGTTGTTCTAAGCTATAGCTGTCGCTGAACTGTGGCCACCATAAAATGCCTGTGAAACATAAATTTTCCGGTACGTTTATATACTCAAATAAATAAATAAATAAAACAAATAAAGGTACTATTCGGTTTCGAGGGCCGTAAAAAATCGCCAAACTATTGTTGATGCCAATGCTGCCAAAAATAATTGCGGCAAGAAAGGAAGTATAATAGTAAATAACTATCTAAGATTGATGTTTAAATTTAGATGAAAGGTTAATTTCATATAATACTTTTTTATTATTATAATTTATATGAAAAAGGCTAAACATGACTGAATGGAAGCAAAAGAGTAAATAACTATTTCAGATCGTTATTATATTTCTTTATAATTTATATAAAAATTGCTAAACATAACTGAATGAATGCCTGCATCGCTATTTCGCTACCGACTTATCGCTAAAGCATAATTTCATCTCGTTTGTTGTTCAAACGTAATTTTCTATAACAAATGATGCCTTTTCTTTGAAAATATTCTCGGTAAAGTGCAGAATCGCCCACTTATTTGTTTGCCGCTTTTTACAAGGGCTAAAAAAAATTGGTTTTTTGTCAATTTTCTTTTACTTTTTAGTGCAGATAGGTCGTTGTGTACATAGATAAAGCCAAGGGCGTGAGCAGTGCCATTTTTGTGCAATTCTGGGATTTTTTTTAATGTGAAAATAGGTCAATGTGCACATGGATACCGAATCTGTGCAATTCTTAAAAACGCGTCAAACAGTGGGTGATTCTGCACTTTACCCAAAATTCTATTGCCGACTTTTCGTCATGGGCAATTCCCAAATTGTTAAATCCATAGGATATTAAAAAAGGATTTAAAAATTAAACTATTATTTCTATGGCGTTTTAAGAAATATAGAACTATATAAACTTACGCAATCTGAAATCAGCGCGTATGCTAGATTTGGCGCGCTGTTAAATGGGCGCGTTTACTAGATTTGGCGGTTTTGTGCATATATTTTCGCTGCAATTTTTTACGGTCCTCAAAAAGGAATAGTACTACCCAAATATATAAAATAAAAAAACAAAATCTGAAATGTTTCAGATTTTAAATTACGTCCAAAGGGGCGTTTTTTAACATTTTGTGTGTTACCTTTCTTTATTAAATATCATGTTCCTCGCACTTAAACCATAAGATCCAGTGCAACAGCAATATCGCAAAATAGTTTTTAAAACGAGCCTATCTTTAGAATTTCCGATACAGAGACTCACGCGCTGGAGATAAAAATGTTTTTTCTGCACAACGTTGCCATTGCTCGCTTTGAAATCCTTGAGTTTGTTAATCAAAAAATTCGTCAAAGTTTTAAAAAATAGGAAATCGATCATAAAACAAAATTTCAAATTTCAAATTTGGTCTTCCACATGCTCATATTCGTTGGAGGATTACGTTATTCAAAATTCGATGACTCTATGTACCGTTGTTTTATCACAATACGAGAAATATACATACATTTACGCAGATTTTTCATTATTTAATTTCTTCAAATATAATGCAGGACTCTAACATTTTGTGGCAACAGTTTGAAAAGTGAACCTACATTTATGAGTCCGACGCAAAATGCCAAAACGAAACTAATAGTCCTTCGGGATTCAAATCCCTTTGGACTAAAATTAAAAAATCCTAACAAAATTCTATTAAATATATAATTAACAGAATTTTCTGGCATGTTTAACAATAAACAGAATTTTCCGGCATGTTTATATATGCTGTTGTAAATGAACTGCTTTCATAATTGTATTAAATACGAAAATTAATGTATATATTAAAAGTTCTGTTGAGTTATATTGTTGTTTTTAAATACATCGGTGACAAAATTTTTAAAATATTATTATAATAAAAGCAATTTAATTAAATATAATTATATTAAATATAATTTATATTAAATATATAATAAAAGCAAATTTATATTAAATTGCTTCGATATGTATTAATCAAATGACTTGTTTTGTTTAGATACTGAATGAATTTCCGATTTATCAGTTATTGTAGTCATTTTCGTTTTCATGGATGTTTATAATATTTGGCAGCAAATCGCACTTTCCGAAGACAAAATTGAGCCAACACCGTTACAAAAGACAAGTATCCTTTATTCTGGGCGACTAGTAATTTGCATAATCATGAAGTTAGGTCAAAAAAGGCTTTGGTTTATTTAATTATGTTAAAGATACACGAAGGCTATTTAAATTGATGCCTTCATGGATAATTTTCTAAGAGAAATTGGCTCCTGTCGACGTTACACGTAGGCAAAGCCACAAAAACTCCCATGTAGCTAACCCGTTCACTGGGATTCAAAATCCGGTCGAACAACCAGTACTCAACGCCTTTACAAATTCTGAAAAAAATTTCAGACTTTTATCATTTTACCATTGATGAGCCGGTCACAGAAGATGTTTAGTTTGGTTTATATTATTACAGCAAAGCCTGGGGGGTTATTTGCCTAAGGGGAGGGATGCTTTCGTATAGATCACAGAAGAAAGCAGCTGAAATGAACGCAATATCAAGTGACATGAAATGAAGATTAGTGGGTACTTTTCTGTTATCAAAATCGAGTTTCAGAAATGTATGTATGTAAAAAATACAAATTAAAACTTTTCTTTTTAGAATTTTTTCGGAAAAAAAAATGTTTAATTACAACTTGTGTAAAGTTTTTACCATCACCTTAAAATATACAGAATTTTAGGCATACCTGCTCAAAATTAGTTTTTCATTCAAAATTTTCAAAAATATACGTAAATTTATATATTGTTGCAATTTGAAATTTAGCATATTTGTTGTAAGCCATAATAACGTGCTTGAACGTGCTCTCTCTCTCTCTCTTTTTTTTTTTTTTTGCTTGTACACAATGCAATGAAAAAAGGGAGAAAGAAGAAAGTAGGTTGCCTTAAATTAAAAATGTCTCCAAGTGTCTCCAAATGTCTTCTTGACAGAAACTTAAAAAGTGCGCCAAGATAAATTTTTTAATTTCTCGGGAAGTTTCTCAGCAAATTTTACAAAATTTATTATATGGGAATAGTGTGAGTCGTAGAATCGGAATATGGAAAAAGATCGGTGTGTCGATTCAAAGCACGTCCGATCTTTTCTCAAAATACCTATGTTTGAACAATATGAACCTAATATATATCCTAAGTCGCGCTTTCGAGATTCGTGTCCAAAATTCCAGAATATGCTAATAAGCGCGAGCAAATCATTAAGGGAAATAAATATGTTTGACTTAAGGGGACACATACACCTTAAAACCCATAAGATGTTCGAATAGGTGACTGTTGCGAGAATTGGGATAACTTATTTATTTTAAAAGCAATTATTCCAACTTTTTACAGCTGACTTACATAATATAGCTGCTTTCTGAAATAGTCATCAGAAAGTTTGTGTTGCCACAAATATTTTTATAATTTAATCCGCTTTTATGACAACATTTTTCGTCGTGTTTCCACCTTGCGCGCACAGTTTAAAACATTCTATTGCATAATTTATTTCCATAGTTAATATGTAGCTTTTATAACATTTGGAAACTACTGTGAACCAAAAATTCTAAGAATTTCATGTTAATTTATTTTATTTGGAGTTGAGTTTATAAAATGTATTTTATTAAAATAAATCTGTAATGTTTTCGTGCATAAAATTTTTTAATATTAAAATATTCGTCATATTTTTGGTTCAGTTAGAAGATAGTGCCCATATAAAGAATTCCATCAAATTTCAAGTATGTACCATTGGCCATTTTTAAAATAACATGCGCGTAAGGTGGAAACTTGACGAAATAGTTTGTCACAAAGCGGATTAAATTACAAAAATTATTGTAGCAACACAAACTTTCTGGTTAGTAGTTCTTAAAACAGCTATATTATGTAGTCAGTTGTAAAAGGTTGGAAGTAATTGCTTTTAAAATAAATAAAATATCCCAAATCTTGCAGCAGTCACATATTCGAAGATCATGAGGGGTTTAAGGTGTATGAGTCCCCTTAGATTAAACACTAAGCTGTAAGTTTGAGAGCGTCCAGGTATTATTAAAATGTTTGCAAGACAATTTTTAGATGAAAACCATAAGTTACACGTGATCGGTGAACTCGAAAGTTAGCTAAATACTGCTGATGATTTCAGAGAACTGAATATTTCTTAAAGAAGGATCACGAGAACCTGAAACCTCTTTTTAAGTCGCAGGGAAATAGTAGTCGTTTTGCCAATTGAGGACATACGAGGCTTCTGAAGTTAATTTCTTTAATTGCTGGCACAAGGAACCATTACACAGCCACCAGATAATAATTGGCCTGAGGCCTTTCAACAAACACAGTTACATGGGTAGGCTGACTTCATGCGTATTAGAAGCTTCATGTGCAGCCTTTAGGCTAGAAGACTTTGAATCTGGTTTCCTATTTCTTCCAAACAAAAGCCTAAGATGGTGCAAAGCCTAAGCCTAATCATCTATGAAGCCAAACTGGAATAGTACTGAATATTTTCCAATAATGAAGCTAGTTTCAGTAATGATCCTGGATGTACATTTAGACAGAGATACAGAGGGAGATTCTGAATCATAATAATCAAATAAGCTTCCATCGAATGTCCCCGAATGATACTTCGTTTGTACTCAATCTATCTGTCGGTTGTGGTTCATGAGAAATTTCAATAAGAATCTTTATGACAGAGATTCTGTAGCTATCCAAGCTACGTAGACGTAGTTATATGTCGTTAACTAAGGTTATTTCAGAGAGCTATAGGCCTAGATGTTTTTATTAATATAGAACAATACTCAGCCTCATTCAACTCTTGTGGTGATTAAATATCTTAAACCTGAGAGTATTGTTCGAATGGATTGATCACCATATTCGTCTGATCTCATTTCTATTGAGCATGTTTGTGACGTCTTAGATCAGTGAGTTGCAGTGCTCTAGCTCCATATTTGAATCCTTCAGGATATCAGAAGAACTTTCTTGGAAAAACAGTGGTGTTTGATCCCACAGAACTTAATGAATTCTTTAAGAATGTAAAAAGGTATTGTAGAGTATAAATTTCTGCTAAAAATCACAAACTTTATTATTAAACATTCGAAAACAGAAATGTAGCTTCCGTCTTTTGGTCTCCACAGATGTTGAGCTGTACGCTTTATATATGTTTCTCTATAACAGAAGTTTAGTTTTCTTTTAGAAATAAAGTAACGGAACAATTCTCATTTTGGTTCTAATATAAATAGAACGTCCGGCGGTCATACGAAATGACATTCTAGATATTATAAATTGTAATTAAAATGATTTGTGCAAAGGTGTCTGCTAATTTAAACTGAATTACCCAGGGCAGGCGGCGAGGACGCCCCTTTGTTATTGCCCCACGGTTTCCCCTTTCTACTTGCTTAATGCTTAAGTAGAGTGCAATGAGGAAACACTGGCGGTACATTTCTTAAAAGCCCACCGCTAGCTCAATCAATAAAGGTGATTTAAATAATGAAATGTTAATTCACATGTCAAAGATCTCTTTGTACACAACATTTCTTGCTTAGATCTTTCCATCATTTTTAAGCTCGCTTTGCAGAGGACCATTCATTATTTTTAATTTGACGTGCATTCCTTCACGAACTCTTGAACAGGCAACATAAAGTTGACCGTGTTCAAATGCAGGCTCAGGTAAAAAAAATGCCAACACACTTAAACGTTTGGCCCTGAGACTTATGGATACTCATCGCAAAGGGAAGTTTTACAGGAAATTGTCTACGTCTCAATTGAAACGGCAACCCTGTGCCGTGGCAACGTCACCCCATTGGCTAGTACAGTTACGCAAGCAACCAATAAACTATCGGCGACAAACAGACACTTAAGCCGCATATATATATGGGGTGAAAGTAACATCATCTTCTCCGAAACGGCTGGCTCCTAGGCTTAGCGAAGCACACCGTTGGATTCCGCAGGTCCGTGGCACGTCATTTTGACCATTCGCGTCTTCTTGGGACTTTAATTAGCCGAGATATTAATTAAAAATTAATTTTCCCTTACATTTTTCCTACATTCTCCACTTTCTTTCTTGGGTTTTCCCTAGTACAGGGATTTGGCTACGTGCCAAATTCTTTTTTCACGAATATCTACGGAACGGCCTTGAATTGGAATTCGAGACGCGTATCCTCGGATTCCAAAAAATTCTCCGAATCTATCGATACCGTTCTCATCTTCGTACGACTTTAATCAGCCGAAATATTAATTAAAAACTGCAAAAACGCTAATTTCCGCGATCATTTTTTCGAGTGGCAACAATAAACTATCGGCGACACACACTTTAGCCGCTTATATATATATATATAAAGATAAAAATGAGACTTTTAAATAACTTCTGAATAACATTTTAATATTTTCTTGATTTTTTCAAACAATTCAAATTATGTCAGGTTTTTTTTTTCTTTTAGTTTAAATTACTTAATTAAAGCCTATTTGGTCATCAGTTGAAAACTCGATGAAAACCGGCATTTAAAGTTTCTAACATGTATATAATTAAAATTTTATTTCAATTGAAAAACAAAGATGTATACCTATAAATCTATTTTGAAAGCTGCATAATCAGAGACTTCCAAAAATATCATTACATAATGATCAAAGAAAAATAACAGTAAGAAGGCAATAATTAAAAAAAAAATTAGGAACTTTACGGTATTTTAAAGGACATCCAGTTGTTGGGCCGCCTCCATTGGTGTTTGCTTCCTCTCTACCCATTAAACGCTATTTTTGCTCTTCTTTTAAAATAATGTCATTAAATTATAATTAATGAATACTGTCATTAAACATGAGAAACTAACATTAACCCTAACACCCTATACTCGATTTCTAACATATTTCCATTACGTGACACTTCATGAGTCGTCTGATGTGCAGATTTCGTGTGCCATCCTGTGTGAAGAAATACATTTTTGAGTTTGCTTGTAGATAATTAACATAAATAATTACACCATTGTACATTCGTTGATCCTTTTATCCCCTAACATAGTTTTTTCACACATGCTTCGACTTTGACCAGTAGTGTTCATCCTTCTACAACAAATTAAAAAGAAAACTTCAAATTAAAAATATATCAGATTTAAAGCAAAAAACAGGTACTTCATCTCTGAAGCATTTATTCCATTAATTTTAAGCAATATTTAAAATCAAATCTGCCGCCCTGTATGATATAGTTCTTAGTCATATCGGTTGACTTTTTGGTGGGCCAGTGTTCAACTCCCAGAGAAAGCCTAGGTGTTTGTAATGTCTGTAAGGCAGAAGGGCACTTAAAGTACTGGCGAGGTAAAAGTCTTCTCGAGAGGTTTGCAGTTAAGAAAAGAAATGTGGGAAACTGTCGTATCTTTTCCCCAGGCGTTCCTCATCAAAAATGGACGGAACTTCCAATGTGTCAGTGCTATTATTCGATCACCTTTTGAGGGCAAATTAATCTGTGATCAGATGGCTAAATGACCGACACATTTTGGCCATTCTTGACAAATGCAGTCATTCGAAAGTATACGATCATTTGGAATACTATATTTAAAATAGCGGGCTGGGTGCATGGGTGTTTTCGTGATTTTACGCATGTGTAACGTGTATGCAGTATCTTCTCGATGCATACGTGAATAAAGCCGGGGGAAGTCCGCGCAAAACCGCTGAACACTGGCAGTTCGGTCCAACTTTCGAATACCTCCGAAATTGAACATGGGAACTCATGAACATTGAACAATGAAAAGCGGGCTTCAGCCCGCTCAGCTGGCGGGCTTGCCCGCTAGTACTATATTTAAAATCTGAGTGGTATGAATTAACAGTTTAAGTTTGCTAAATTTTGTTTATAAAACACGATGGCTGCTTTTACAAGGAAGCGCTAAAAATGTTGCTAGAAAACTCTTTATAATCAACAGTTTACTATTTCTACCCAAGAAAATACTTTATATTCTTTCTTTATAAAATGCTTTACACTGTTATGTATGGTTTCCGTAATTATTTTTCAGGAAGGAGAAAAGCTACGATCCAAAGCTTCAATGATAGACTGCGTTTCCGGTGAGTTTATTACACATCTGGTTTTCGAAGTTTTGATTAATAACAATGACAGGTAATATTTGTTACTCAGTATTACAAATACAGCATGGGGAAAAATCGGGAATAATGCATTTAAAAAAATCTGATGTGTACACCACATGACTTCCTTGTATTGGAATATTAAATTGGAATATTAAATTATACGCATTTTTTCTTGCATTTCATTTAAACTTATTGGATTGAATTAAATCTACATCGCCGACAGCGCATAAGCCACAATAGAATAAATGCATTCTTTAAAATTCACTCTAGTATTTGTTTACCATAGCGACACTGGCGCTAGATTCACTTAACAGTATTAATAATTATATAACAGTTAACTTATATAATAATTATATAACAGAAACTAAGTTAACTGTTGTATAATCCAATAATTATATAACAGTTAACTTATATATTTTGTTCATATTATAACTCATAATGCACAAAATTTATATCATTTAAAGAATAGAATTATCTAATCGTTGCCACATGTTCTGTTCAAATACTATAATAAAGCTAGAAGGATGTATAAAAGAAATCAAGCAAACAAAACAAAAAAGAAACAGTTTTTCACAGACGATTGAGTATTTCTCATTCAATTAATTCAGTTCTCACTTCGCGAGAAGGCAAAAATACATAAAAACTCAAAATATCTATATTAAAAATTACGAAGTAAATCTTAAACGCTTATTTCCTCGAAAAAATTTCAGAAAGGATTAAGCATGATTTAATTGGCAATAATAAATGAAGGCGTTATTTTTGTTGTTGCGAAGCTAAGTTTCTCTAGATTGGCAACAAATCCACTAGTCTCCTGTTTCAAATGTAAACATCAATGGCCGCCATTAAAGCAGGCTTAGCGGCAATTAAACAACTTTAAAATTGCTGATAATTCTAAACATATTGCACACAGATTTATTAAAGGCATAAAATCCTTAACCGGAAGATAAAAACAATATAATTCAATCATTTTTAAAGCAAAAAATGTACAATTTACAAACATATAAGAGTAAAGAAACTGAGATCACTGAGCCGGGTAACAGAGTGGATATATATATAAATATATTTATATACGTTTGGTGCGGCCGATTGCAAACAAAATACAAGGTGCACACCCACATGTTATAGCAGTCCTCCTATATACAAAATTTCAACGTTCTGAGGCTACTCGTTTTTGAGTTATGCGAGATACATACGTACGTACATATGTTCGTACAGACGCCACGAAAAAATTCTCTTCGGAATTAATTTTAAAGCAGTTTTATAATTTTTTTGAAGGAAAAGAGTCTTTTATTCTGTCCTTACGTACAAATATCCCCCCAAAACATCGTTAAATTGCATTCGATAGCGGTCAAAATGAATATTTTCGTTGAAATATGATGCCTGAAGCTTTTCGCGATTACAATACTTCCTTTTAACTTCATACAAGGAAGTAAAAAAACCTAAAGTGCAAAAAAAGTGTTTAATGATTCCCCTAATACATTTTCATGTTTAAATTTAAACGAACAGATTCAAAGGACATTTTGAAAGACTTTCCCATTTTCACAAAATAAATAAATGAATAAAGCAGGCATATTTAAAACTTTTATTTTCTCTTAAAATACTTTTCAGAGCTTTTAAAGATTCTCCGAAGAGCAAACTAAATCTGCTCTAAAGGCTATGGGCTACATACATAGCAGATTTAATTTCTTAGTTAATAATGAAAATTGTCAGGAAGTGTATTCCATCTGCATGATGGGGAAAATCATTATGCTTGGTGATCTTAAAGTGTTCTTTCGCCATTATAAATGGAAGCACCGCTTTATATTATGATCATTATGGCCATTTCAAATTTCCTACCAGGGAAAAAATTACATATATTGAAAGAATTTAGATTTTTAACTTCGCACAAGAAGATTTGTCAAAGGTTTTGTGCTCTCCACTGAGCATCGCGGGTCTAGGACTTTTTACATGATTATTTACATGATTATTTACATGACTATTTACATGATTCGCCGTCGCCATTTCACCGTGGCCATTTCGCCGCCGAGACGTTTCACCGTCAGGACGTTTCGCCGTCAAGACATTTTTCTTCACCTGACTGTATTTCGTCTTGCCGTATTATACGCTATTAAATTTATTTAGTTTAATAATTCTGTTTACCTTTTACTTTGTGTATACTTTATAAAGGTTATTTTATAAAAGTTTGTATCCTTAAAGGATATAAAAGAATTACGCATAGTTATTTGGAAAATTATGTCAGTATAAAGAGAGCTTCTGTTATAACGGAAGTTATATTATAGATTTTAAAATTATGTGGGTAAAATATTTACATGATTTTTCAAAATTTCTTGAAATTTTAATCAGCTAGTTCAAAGAAATCACACAAAAACATTTTATATACAACATTACACAAACATTTAATATTATTATTTTATATAAAATGTTTATCAATTTAAATAAAATTAATAAACTAAACATAGTTTAAATCAACTTTATAGAATACGGCAAGATCTAGTATAGTCGTTTAACCCTCTGAGCGGCCAGGGTTTTTGCTAAGAAAGCCCAAATTTCCCAAAATTATTATGAGAACAAAGTATTTTTTGATTTTAATATAAAAACTCTTCTGGTATTTTATACCTTGATTTGTGTACTTTTGATATATTGCCTTAATTTGTTTGACATATTTCAATATGCACTTATATTGACATATTTCAATATACACTTACAGATATCACAAAAAATATTCTAAGCCGTATATATACGGCCTTGCCGCTTAGAGGGTTTTAAAGAAAAATATGTCTTGACGGCGAAACGTCCAGGCGGCGAAACGCCGTAGACGTTTCGCCGCCAGGACGCCCATTTTCAGCATCGCAGCTCTCTAAGCATTGAAAACCTTATGCTCACTCTTGCTAACACAACATTTTTTGCCTTTTCAGATTTACTAGTGAGCATCGCTTTCTTCGCACGTACGCCACATAAAGTTCGAGAATTACAAAATATTTAAAAAACTGCATATCTTAAAATTTTCCGATTAATTAGAGGTTGCATACTTTTTTTTGTATTGCAGACGCATGGATGTAATAAATATTCTATTTGAGGCAGTGGCAACACGTTGCTGACAAATCACCGAATTTATGGATTAAAATTGAAAAATAAATATCTTACATTTTGCCGAATGGCAATAGTCCAGGAAGCTGGAGATAAAAATATTTTATTCTGAATAGTGTTGTCCCTTCTCGCTTCCAAATCACTGAGTCTGTTAAACAAAAATTCATTAAATTTCTCCAAATATTGAAATAAATCAAAAACGATTTCGAAATTCAAAATTCGGACATCCAGATGCTGATGTTCAGGTGGTGTATTAAAAATTCGGTGACTCTGGGTGCTGTTGCGAGAAATATACATATATGAATACAGACATACAGACTCCTCGTTCGAAACTAATAGCCCCCTGATGTTAAAACTGAATCTAAAAGATTTCAGATTCTAACGGTCGCTCAGAAACGTTTGTTTTTTTATGCTGAGCTCGCAGTCTACTTTTGCACTCACTCCTGCTAACACTTTTTATCTTTCCTTTTTATCTTTGTTTTTAAACATAATTTTCTTGCATTTACGTCGCATACAGTTCAACAACAAAATCACAAAAATTTTAAAAGCTGTATATTATCCAATTAAAATTTCTAAAAGCTTTATATTATTATATAGCATATGTTTAGAATTTTAGATGCAGTGTTAAGTGCTGGTATGCAGTTTTATATATATATATATTTAAAATCTTTTCTCAGTCCAACATATCAATATTCAGTTTACTTAGTAAGGTGGTTAACAAAATGTTTTTTCTCTTTTTATTATTAACTTTTTATGTGTTAAATCTATTTATTAAATGTCACGTTCTTTGCACCTACACAGCATAAAATTGAATTCAACAGAAAAAATACAAAATATTTAAAAACGATATATTTTTATAATTTCCGAGTTAGTATTAGATTTTACCACACACATTTTCATACAGTGTCTCACAAAAGTGATGGGACACTTGTGCTTTACAAAAGGAAACTGTAATAAAATAGATTAAAAAAACATGTAAAAATTTTTGTGGGTGTGTTTCATACTTAAATTTAGTAACAATTATTAAATAACATACATTTTCTCAAAATATTAAAATATTAATTTAATAAAAATACAATTGTTTAGAACGGAGCAAAAAAATGGCTCACATAAGTGATGGGACACTACGTATTATGCAACAAAATACGTCTGAAGTAACAATAAAAAAAAAATATTTTTGGGGTTTTATTTTTACTCAAAAGCAATTGGCAATAATTTATAAAATCGTCTGCAGTATTTCTCTCCAGTTTGTTTTGGAATTTTTGTGTTTTTTAGCTCTGTGCAGCCATGAATGCTAAACGAAAAGAAACTTTGCCTGAAATTCGAAAATTAGTTATTAATTTGCATATTGAACGTGGAAAATCTATTAGAGAAACTGATGAAACAGTTAACTTGAGTCATTCAACAGTTTTCAGTATCATTAAACAATATAAAAAGAATCATATGATTCAGGATAAAGGAAGACCTGGCCGACCATCAAAGCTATCCAATGGAATAATAAAGCGAATTATCGTTGCGAAATATTAAAAAAAAATCCAAGAATGAGTGCTCCTAAAGTTGCTGCTGATTTACAAGCATTATATGGAGTAATTGTTAATCCTGAGACTATTAGAAGAGTAATTCGATCTGCTGGATATCACGGTAGAGCAGCCAGGAAAAAATTCTTCGTAAGTGAAAAGAATAGAAAACTCAGACTGGCTTTCGCAAAATCCAACATAAATAAGAATTCTGATTACTGGAATGAAGTTATATTTGCTGATGAGAGTAAATTTAATATATTTGGTTCTGACGGTAGAATCTTGGTGTGGAGAAAACCCAGGAAAGAATTTCGCAAACAGAACTTGGTGCCAACAGTAAAACATGGTGGAGGAGGAGTTATGGTATGGGGGTGTATGTCGTCCGCTGGAGTTGGTAATCTTGTTTTTATTGACAGTATAATGGATCAGTACAAGTATATTGACATTTTAAATCAAAATTTGAAATCTTCAGCACGAAAATTGAACCTTCATAAACGATTTTAAATTCTACCAGGACAATGACCCCAAGCACACTGCTTTGAACGTTAGACTCTGGCTGCTGTATAACTGTCCTGAAATAATAAAAACACCACCACAATCTCCAGACTTAAATCCCATAGAGAATATTTGGCAAGAATTGGAATCAAGAATTCGAAAAAAAACACACCATTTCTTCAAAACAACAATTAAAATCGGTGCTTCAAGAAGAATGGGTAAAATCACTCCAGAAATCACAAAAAAATTAGTCGAATCCATCCCAAGAAGATTAAATCATGTTTTAAAAGTAAAAGGAAATCCAACAAAATATTAAAACCTTTTAAAAAGTAAAATTTTTTGATAAATATTTGATGGAAAAGTAAGTGTCCCATCACTTATGTGAGCCATTTTTTGCTCCGTTCTAAACAATTGTATTTTTATTAAATTAATATTTTAATATTTTGAGAAAATGTATGTTATGTAATAATTGTTACTAAATTTAAGTATGAAACACACCCACAAAAAACTTTTACATGTTTTTTTAATTTATTTTACTGCAGTTTCCTTTTGTAAAGCACAAGTGTCCCATCACTTTTGTGAGACACTGTATTCTCTATATTATTTCTTTAAAACCAGTTGCTTGAGCAGTCAGCTGTTGAAATAGCTATCATAAAAAGAGAAAAAGTATGTAATGATTTCAATGAGTTAAGAGAGTATAATTTCATAAAAGTACTGAAAATTTCTAATTAAGCATCTCATAATTTTAATACATGCTTATTTAAATCAATCACATTAAAAGTAGAAAAATGTATTAATAAGAACTGCGTTTATTGCTTTTAAATCGCTTGGTGTATTACTCAGTAACCTTCCAGATTAGATTTGGAAGTATTTCAATCTTTACTGAATGGCAACACGCTGGCGCACGGAAGATAAAAGTGTTTTCTTTCCCTTTTGCAAAACATTTCTTTCGCGGAGCCGAGTTTGTTAATTAAAATTTAAAGATAAATATTTTACATTTATCCGAATGACAACAGTCTCGAACGCTAGACATTAAAATGTTTTATTTCGAACAGTGTTGCCACTGCTGGCCTTTCAAAGCGTTGATTTTGTTAATCAAAAATCCATTAAAGTTTTATAAAATAAGAAATAAATAATAAATATAGTTCAAAATTCGGGCTTCCAGGTGTACATGTTTGAGTTTAAGTCTGCGTTATTCAAAATTAGATGGTTCTAGGTATCATCGGTTTTTCACAATGAGAGGAAAATGCATACATACATACAGATTCTTCTATTCAATTTCTTTAAAAATAATACAGAGTGATAATACTTTGTGGCAATAACTTGGAAAGTGATACTCCATTTATAGTGAAATAACACAAAATCCCATTTCGAGAATAATAACTCCTTTAGGGCTAAAAAATAAAATTTTCATATGAACTAAAATTAAAATCGAGTAACAAAACAACTATCTAAGACTAAACCACAACAGAAACATGGAAAACATGTGTCTGAAAACCTTCGAAAAAAACTGATTGAATCTTGAACCCAGTATCCAAGTGCCAATAACATGCAATAATACGCCATTGATTAGAACCTAGGATATAAATAGCATCCACGATGTAACAGTGAAACAGATCCACTACATTATCGTAATTTTAAACTGTATGATGCCCCTAAGATTAATTTACAACCCGAAGACTACAAGTTACCGATATTTCTTGATAAAGTAAATCGGTACTGAATTTTCTTGGTACAATATTTCTTGGTATAAGTAAATCGGAATTGAACATATGCTCTCTAAAACGTTTTTCGAATGACAAAATAGACACCCAGTAAAAATGCAAAAATTAATCGAAAAAGAATGCAACGATTAGATTAAAAGTAAATATAAGAGAAGTTTAATTATGATAGGCCGATGAAACAAAATTTTTACTGAAAAATCTCCCATAAAAAATAAAAGTGGTCGAATTTAGTTAGTTAAAAATTGAAACTTTTGATAATAGATATATTTACTTAAAAAAGAGAAAGATTAAGAAATATAAACGAGAAGTGCTAAAAAGATATACCCATGACAGATTGGCTTTTATCCCTGTTTTTGAACTGACTTTTAATAATTACAAAATTTACAGGCCTCTACGCAAAATTCTGCTGTATTCACAGAGTTACAGTGTTTGCAAGTTGTATAAAAGTATGTTCTTCTTATTATTATTGTTATCACAGAGACAATTCGTTGATAAAGTAGAATCTAATCTGGCATTAATTATATTCTTAGTACCATTTTCAACACTTTTAGCTACTATTGTTTTATAATATTTAAATTGAAATAATATCTGAATTTAATTTTAAGTTCAGAATTAAACTCTTGACATTAACTTATAGCCTTCTGTCAGTCTCTTTTCATTATTAAATTAAATGATTAACTAACTGTGAGGAGATTTTAGCATGTTTTATGCAAAATTGTTTGTTCTTTAGATTAGCTAATGTTTTACTTAGACTTTTTTGTTTCCGTAGGCATAAAGGGAAGAAAATCACATAAAAGAAATGAAGAAGAAAGTTTTAGAAAACGAATCAGAAATGCTTTCCATGGATGTTTCGAAATCTGTATCAAGAAATATGACGACTGATAAGAATAAATTAATCTTTTTCTAAAGAATATAATAAGAAAACTATCGAAGAATTTGGGTAAAGGAGAACTGTTATTCTCTTCATGAAACTATAGAGAAAAGAATAATTCGCGAAAAAAGAGAAGAAAAGACATTATTATGGTTTGACTACGTGTATACTGATATAATTACAACTTTGAAAAATGTTTTTAATTAAAATATAAATGTACAAGATATCAAATGTTTAGAAACAATTGTTTTAAAATGTAAAGTTTCAGGTCTTTTGCAAATTTTTGCGTTGAAAGAATTATGATAAAAATTTCAAGTGCACTGGATGTGTCTTTGAAGCATGTTTAAGAAAGGAAAAATTTATCATACGGCTTTTTATAAATTTTATTTATACTTTTATTTTTGCTTAAATTAAACGGATAATTATTAGAAGTTAAAAAAAAAAGCATTATTCACATTCCAAATGGAAAAATGCGCAAAATGTATATTTTACTGGAATTAAACAAGCATAAAATTTACTTAATATTATTCAAGAAAACTCGCATCTGTTCATCGGTTTTGGAAGAATTCATCACATGTTTAAAAGAATTTATTTGTAGTTTTGAAGATGCATTTGAAAATGTATTTATTTATTCTATCAAATTAAACAAGTGATAATGGAACATTAGTAAGTCAAATAATAAACTTTTATACCTTACCACTTTTTAACAGTTTTTTTGTTAATTTTCTTTCTTCTCCCTCCTTTCAGCTTATACATTTTCCTATATTACTATATTTTGAAAAACCATTAATTAATTTCTTCTGTATTCAACGGATATGGAAAAGATATTTCATCATTAAATCATCTTCAATGATTTAAAATTTAAACAAATTCTTCCCTTCATTTATTCAATTTTCTTATATATTACGTAGCGGTTACGCTTACTCAGTTATTCTCTTTTTCGCATTTTAAAAGGAATAATGACTATGTTACTAAATTAGGTTATTTCGAAGCAGGAGAGATGAAAAATGAGCAACGTCGTCGCCGGGAATCGAAGCACGGATCTCTGGAATACGCGCCGAGCGTGCAGACCACTGCACCACGAAGGCACGCTAAGAAGGCGGGAGAAATACCTTATATACTCCCCCTTTTAAAGGGTGACTGGTTTTTAGAGGACTCAATCGTCAAATCCTGGGTGTGGAGAATCATCATCCACCACCCTTTTAGTTCGGGCACCACTGTAGAGACATCAGGCTATTTCGAAGCAGGAGAGATGAAAAATGAGCAACGCCTTCGTCGGGAATTGAAACACATACTTCTGGAATATGCGCCCAGCGTGCAGACCACCATACCACGTAGGCACGCTAAGAAGGTGGGAGAAATACCTTATAACTATTCTCTGAATGCACTTAACTCGCGAATGCTCGCTTTTGAAAGAAGGTAAGTGTGCTGTAGAGCGGAGTTGTCAAACTTGCGGTCCGCATGTGGCCCCCGAAGTAAATTTTTGTGCCGAACAATGCTCTGAAATAAAATTAAAACAGTATGTTACGACGAAAGTAGTACTTAGAGGAGATCGAGGCAATACTATGCGCTCTTGGTTCATCCCGTGAAAGTAACAAAAAGGGTACAATTACTGCACATTAACATAACTTACAGTTCCACCCCATATCGAGGTGTATATAGAACCTAATCTAGTGCTGAAAAGGAGTTTTGCGGTAGCCTTTTTACAAAAATAGTTACGCATTTGGCATTGAGAAAGTTCCAGCTGATTTATAAATGGAATTAACAGAAATTTAGTGAGAACTTTAAAGCAAAAATTTAGCGAAATGGAATCCGCCTTGCGCACGCGCTATTCTAAAATCATGACTATTTGATCCTCTTAAGGTACAAAGTTTGACACGCCAGCTTTAGAGTGTATTTCTCATTGCGGATTAAACAGAATTAGAAGCCTAACAGGAAGCTAATATATTTTTGATTTACATTTCATTGCTGAAAATCAGAAATCAGAAAATGAATATATTGGATTAGTCTGTTCAACAAAATTAGAGGTTAATACAATAAGTAATACAAAGGGTTAAAAAACAAGGAATTTTTAGTCCAAAGGGATTTCAGTCCCGAAGGACTATTGCTTTCGTGGCATTTTGCGTCGGACTCAAAAACGTCGGTTCACTTTTCAAACTGTTGCCACAAAATGTTAGAGTCCTGCATTATATTTGAAGAAATTAAATAATGAAAAATCTGCATAAATGATTGTCTATTTCTCGCATTGTGATAAAACAATGGTACATAGAGCCATCGAATTTTGAATGACGAAATCCTACTGCGAATATGGGCATCTGAAATCCCAAATTTGGAATTTGTTTTATGATAGATTTTATATTTTGTAAAACTTTAACGAATTTTGATTTACAAACTCAATGCTTTAAAGCGAGCGAGAAATGGCAACGTTATATATAAAAAAAAAATACTTTTTATCTCCAGCTCGCGAGACTGTGTATATCGGAAATTCTAAAGATATGCTTAATTTAACATTATTTTGCGATATTGCTCTTGAACTGAATTTTATGGTTTAAGTGCAAAGAACATGATATTTAATAAATAAAGGTAACACTCAAAACGTTAAAAAAACGCCCCTTTGGACGTAATTTAAAATCTAAAAAATTTCAGATTTTTTTTTTTTTTTTTAATTTTCTTTTTTCGAAATGCTACACAAGATATAATATGAAAGAAGGTCTCAACTTTTAGGGCTGACATAATGCTGCAAAATTAACAATTTTCGTAATACAACGTGTGGTAGAACTCAAGTGGTTTACTGCAAGACGGCGCTTTCAAAGTGTATGACAATCATTCCGTCATCATTGTCATGCTTGCAGCTTATAATCGATCATTTGCATTGGAGTTGATAATTGATAATTTAAAAACATCACTTGTAAACATTAAACAATATTTTCTAAAATACCCGTGATAAAAATGACTTTTCGTTTCCCGTGTTCATCGTCTGCATTTCCGCGTTTAAATTTCACATTTCTCCACGCTTTGTATTACGAAAATTGGTAATTTTGACGTGTTTTATCACTCTTTGAAAAATGGCTTTGTCATTTTGGCAGCATTAAGTTCAACTTATAAATGTGAACAAATATTATCATACATGAAATTTATTTTTAAATAAGAACAGGAGAAGCTCAACTATGGAAAATTCAGATACTAAATCGACGTCACAAATTTAGCCTTACTGAAGTCATTGACACCGAAGAAAAAGATAAAATTCATTCAGTTATGTTTGTTTTTATAATTATTAGAATTATAATTTTTTAATTTTTCTGCTTAATGTTTAAAGCTTATTGTAATTAGTTTTTCAACAAAATATATCTTATTATTCACCAAGAAAGACTATTCTAAAATGAAAATATCACTGACCCAAAACGTCTTATTAACACATTTTGGTTGATTTTGACGCGCAAAAGAAAAAAGTTGCCAACTTCTTGTCTATTTGATTACATTATAAAAAGAATTAAGTAAAATTTCGCAAGAAACTAAGGAGCGTTTGATATAAATAATTTAAAGTTCATATTATTGCTGTTCCATTTCAAGAAAGTAAAGACAGGGAGGTAGGACATTGAAGACTTTATAGTTAGACAAAATTAATTCCTAAATATGTTCCAAGATTAATTTTTTGTACTTCAGCAATATAATTTTTGGATGAAAATGCTCATTTTGTTTCTGTATTAAGAAAACCGAGTTAAAAATGGATGCGTTTCCATTTTGGACTTTAAATGTAGGCAAAAAATGTTGAAAAGCATGTTGTTATTTGCTTCATAAGCTGTAGTAATATCAGTCGAAGATGATGAAGTTCATTTTTCTGATATAAAACTTCATCTGTGCGGAAAAAACAAAGAGAAAAAAATGAGAATTTATATGAGGAATTTTATTTCAATTTTCTCTATTTACAGTTTAACATTTAGGAACTTTTCTTCTTCAGTTAGATAAGTTTGCCTGCAACAGTGAGGATTCAGGGCGCATTCCACACTTAAGCCGGAATTCTTGGCCTCTTTCATGGAACCACACATTAGACACTAAAATGAAGAGCAACAATACATTTGAATTTTGCATACATTACAAAACATTCTTATCCCAAAACTTAAAAACTATGACATGTAGAATTAAGCATGAAAATACACAACGAATTAAAAAGAGCAACAGGTTTTCTATTTCTTAAAACATTACCTTCTAAAAACTTAACCCGTGAAAATATTCTTCCGTATCTACAACTTTAGCTGGAAAAATAATCGGGAATACTTCTTTAATAGCTTAAGGAACTCAATGATTTGTATATTCAGGAGATTCTATTGTTTCTATTCGTATTTTAGAGTTTAATTGGCTGATTGCAAAATGCTACTCTTTTGCACAATTACTTGAGATGACACTGCATAAATTCTCCAGATTTCTTGCTTCACCGGATGGATAAAATCAGAGGTTGTGCAATAATATCCCTGCAGTGAACTCCTAATTTACCGTGAATGGTTAACACAAAACCGCAATTGATTCGAAAACCCAAGAAAAAAAACTTCCTTAGTAAACCTAGCAATACAGGATTAGTCTAAACGAAATAGAGACGCTCCCCAGTTTACGAATTTCGCAGATACGAACAAACTTATTTTCAAAGAGTGAAATTTCTTCCGATTCGAAAAGAAAATAATCAAACAGCTATGCGACATATCATAGAATGCTATCGTTTTATTTACGACTAAAGAAAAGAAAAAGAGGTCATACAAATTTAGAACTTGTTTTGTTAAAAACGACACTTCCGAAAATCAGTATTGCTGATCCTTTTGACACGCCGACTCCATCCATCTCTCATGGCAAATGCCAATAAAAGGGATAGGTTGTACAGAACAAAGAGATATTCATTATTGTGAGTGTCCTCCCAGCCAACCTATTTGATATTGCGTAACCTTTTTGAGAGGATACTTGCTTTCACTTTGCGCTAATCTCCATAGTTTTCTCAAGTACATTGAAGCTGTGACTTGGCGACTGTTACACATTGGCATGCATAAGAGGTGAAATCCTTTATTGCATAGATGTCCATTGCACTAACAAAGATGGATGTACTGAATATCTATGAAACATGTTAAAACACTTGACGAATTTCGCCTTTTATTTTAGTATAATAAAGAGCAATTTAATGAGCTGTAGTTGCTATGAACGTTTAAAATATTTCACAAATGACGAATGAACTTAAGGTATCACTTGGATGTTTTTATTCGTTTTATAACCTAAAAGTAAAACTGAGAACATGTTACTAAAAAACATTTAAGCTGTGTCAAGACATGCATTGGTAAACTAGAAAAATGACACAAAGTTTAGAATCACAATGAAAGTAAATCAGTTACCCCATTTTGATCCAGAAAGGACAGGACAAGCTCCGTGTAATGTCAAAATATTTCCCACTCCATTGGATTTCACATTGTGCCAAAACAAAGCGGAACCCTTTGAAAACAAAAACCAATATGAAAAAGCATTCAGAGTGCATTTAAAATATCTTACATCGTATACATTGTTGAATCATTTTTTTTTATAACGGAAAACAAGTCCAGGTATATCATTTTCTGCATATCCAGAAAAGCACTAGTTACAAGTTTCTCATCGATATGTCTTTTGCACATTTATCCCGTTTTTTCGTGTCTACCCTTGTAAGGATTATGTTAATTTTATTAACAGTTAAATTTTGAGTTAAAGTTCCTTTTTTATCGATTCTTAACTTCAACTTACACTTACGGCCAGAGCGTAGTTTTAGAATCACGTTTGAATACATAATGAGGAAGAGCGGTATTTAACCGCGAAGTTCTTCGGTCTTAGGGAGAGAGATACCTGGTATTCTAGCTGCACGCGTCCCCTTTTTGGGGTACTCTCTCTTAAGCTATTACCACGCTCGGCCGTACTTTAGGCCCTTGATAGCTTCGCAGTCTATTAACGTTAAGGGGAAAATCTGTTAGAATTTCGATAGCTTCAGCTGTACATCTTTAGTTTAGATTAGTTTAATTAATTCTTAGCATCTTAAGTTCAAGCCGAAGTGTCGGCTTTATTGTACACTCCAAAACGGAGTTTTGTTAAACTTTATTTGGGATAATAAAGGGTCAGTTTACACTTGTTGTTTCCTGTCACACGAACTCAAGCGATTATTCGCTTATCAGTTCTTAAGATTCTTCACTTCCAACAGTAACTTAGATTTACAAAGTGAGGAACCCTACACCCTAATTCATTTGTGTTACATCAACTGTAAAACGTTTCGTTTATACAATACTAAACTTCGGTTATACGTCGTTTTCTTCCCTGGATCGTTCATGTGGCTGAGTTTCCACAGTTCAAATAATTTTCAAAGTAATAATTACATAGGGAGGACATATTTATCGACTTCTGTTTCGATGATAAATACAAATGAAGCAGTACAAAACGTAGAATCAGAATCGCATAAGCACTTTTCTGTTCTGCTACTTTTTCCATCTCTCCAGCATTTGTAAAATTCCTTTTTACTTCCTTGTACGAAGTAAAAAGGAAGTCTTGTAATCGCGAAAAGTTTCAGGCAGCATATTTCAACGAAAAATATCCATTTTGTCCGCTATCGAATGCAATTTAACGATGTTTTTGCATGATACCTGTACGTAAAAACAGAATAAAAGACTCTTTTCCTCCCCCCCAAAAAAAACTGCTTTAAAATGAATTCTGAAGAGAATTTTTTGTGGTGTCTGAACGTACGTACGTACGTATGTATCTCGCATAACTCAAAAACGAGTAGCCTCAGAACGTTGAAATTTTGTATATAGGACTCCTATTAACATGTAGATGTGTACCTCGTATTTTGATTGCAATTGGCAGCACCAAACGTGTATAAATATATTTATATATATATCCACTCTGTTACCCGGATCAGTGATCTCAGTTTCTTTACTTTTATAAGTTTGTAAATTGTACATTTTTTGCTTTAAAAATGATTGAATTATGTTGTTTTTATCTTCCGGTTAAGGATTTTATGTCTTTATGTATGTTTTATGTCTAGTAAATCTGTGCAATATTTTTAGAATTATCAGCAATTTTAAAGTTGTTTAACTGCCGCTAAGCCTGTTTTTAATGGCGGGCATTGATGTTTACATTTGAAACAGGAGACTAGTGGATTTGTTGCCAATCTAGAGAAACTTAGCTTTGCAACAACAACAAAGATAACGCATTCGTTTATTATTGCCAATTAAATCATGCTTAATTCTTTCTGGAATTTTTCGAGGAAATAAGTGTTTAAGATTTACTTCGTAATTTTTAATATAGATATTTTGAGTTTTTATGTATTTTTGCTTTGTCGCGAAGTGAGATCTGAATTAACTGAATGAGAAATACTGAATCGACTGTGAAAAACTGTTTCTCTTTTTGTTTTGTTTGCTTAATTTCTTTTATATATCGTTCTAGCTTTATTATAGTATTTGAATAGAACAATGTGGCAACGATTAGATAATTCTTTAAATGATACAAATTTTGTGCATTCTGAGTTATAATATGAACGAAATATAATACTGTTAAGTGAACCTAGCGCCAGAGTGTCGCTATCGTAAACAAATATAGTGAATTTTAAAGAGTGCATTTATTTTATTGTGGTTTATGCACTATCGACGAAGTAGATTTCATTCAGTCCAATAAGTTTAAATGAAATGCAAGAAAAAAATGCGTATAATTTAATATTCCGTACAAGAAAATCGTGGTGTACATATCAGACTTTATTAGATTATTTCATAAAAATGTTATTAAGGAGATGTTTGATAGTTCCCAAAGAAATTTACTCCAAGTCATTCATAGAATTCTGAAGTGACGTGATGAGATTATAATCCAAGGGGGTAAGGTGTATTGAATATGGCGGCGTAAAATATCCTAGCCATATTTAATGTCATATTTAATCATCTTTGTCTGACTTTCATAGAAATATAGGTTCAAACACGGTCACGATGGAAGACATCTCAATTAGTTTAGCAGTTCTGGGCGCTTTGATACACTTTTTACTTTTACCACTGCCATTTGGGAACAGTATTTTTCCCGACTTTATAGTCCTATTCGGTGACTACAATTCATAATATACAATTTCTTTATAGTCTTTGTAGTCCTACTTTACAGTCCATAAAAAGCCTTCACCTCGATGTTACTAAAGGAGGTTCTTTGGCTTATCCCATGATCTTTTTCCTTTAACATTAATGTATATTTCTCATCTCCTGAAATGAATCGTCTGAAATAAAAGGTGTTTCTATCCAAAGAATCGCATGCCGGAACAAGCAAGAGTATTCTACTGTGTTACAGTTTGGGATACCGTTACATTGTAGCAGTTGTACCCAGTCTTCTTCAAATGATCATGTTCTGAACATTTTAGAATGTTTAGTTTGTCACGAATAGTTCCTGAACTGCATAATTTGGATTTTCAGTAATAACTTCTTTTAATAGGTCCTTGTTTACACAGGATTGACATTCAGAGCAGGCATCATCTTCGAGGCTGAAATGTTTAGGATATAACTTCTCAAACCACTTTCCAACTGTGCTATCAGAAACAGCACTTCTTCCATACATAGCACAAATTTTAGGAGCAGTCTGACCCGCACTGTTTTCCTTTTTCAAAATAAAAGAGCATAATATGACGGAAATGGCCTTCTGGGTTCTCCATTCTTAGCACTTTCTGAAGTGCATGTTAGAATTACACAGCGTAGGCAGAAAAGACCGTATTAAAGCATTTGCTTCTACCAAGATCACTCTTTTGAAAAATAGCAGAATTTTCGAATGACTCTATGCAAAATCATCCTTCATTAAGTGCGCGTGAGTGTTTCAATGAGAGACTTCGTGAATTACGCTACACTGGTTTTGAAATGCAAAAAATAACCAAAACATGTGTCAAATAAACGAATTCCGTTTTCGTAGAAAATTTTACCAGCAAATAGAAGACACTGGGCATGAGCAATTCTACTCTTACTCACCCTTTATGACATTTACACGCACTGTCTAGAGTGCAAGATTTTACAAATGCTTAATTTGAATTTCGGAATACGGTTATTTGGCACACTTTTTCTACGAGTCAAGCCTACTGATGATGGTCTTGAATTTCTTTCCACACTTAATATATTACATGAAGTATACAGTTTACTTTTGAAACTGAACTGATCATTTTCTCCCTCTCTCTCGCGTTCTGGATACGAAACCGGATAATGAATTTCAGACGAGTGTTTTTCATAAGCTGTTTCCTGGCTTCCTGGTTCCAAACGCTAATTGCTCTACCCATGTAAACAAAAATTACATGCGTTTATTATTTTGTTCACTGTACAATTAATTTAAAAACTGAGTTTAATATTCTAAATGATAATTGTTTTTTATGTGATTATGCTTTTACCGTCATCGAAATTGAGTATAAAAATTTTGCCTAGCTTCTTCACTTTCATCTTAGAGTCTTCAAGTTAAGAGTATTTTAGTTCTTTCTGTTTGCCTGCCATTTATATTTAAATTTACATTTAAATTTACCTTCTAAATGCTTTAAACAATATGATTGTAAACCTATCAATAAAATAAAGTTGTCAGCTCTAGAAAATCGAATATAGGACTTGAAGCTTCGTGGCATAAATCCTTCTGAATGCAGTTTTACCTACACAATATAAACCTGTAGATCTTTGAAATTCAGGATAAGCGAGAACTGATAAAAATCTTCGGTTGTTTTCTATTGTTAGAACAGAAGCCATGAATTTTGGTATTAGGACGCCAAACTTATTGCTCGCACAAACTCGCCGTTCCATTTGAATTTCTTAGAAGACTTCGATATTTTTTTTCGTAATAATGTCATTAATGATTCATCTTCCATTCCTTCGTGTCGGAAGTGTGAGAAAAGCCTATTCTTCTTTTGATCAAACACTATAACTTCTACTGCGTTCACAATCGTAACAGCAACGTTTTCATTAAACTGGACTTAATCCCATGAAACTATAGTCAGATATAAATGTTTGCTTAGTTTCGTTTTAATTATTGCATTATACTTCTTCATTCATTGCTAAACTGAAAACGTTATTTTGCCCATGTACTAAGATATTCCTTTAAGAAATAAATGAACTGAAACATTTTTACGCAAAGTTCTCATTGCACTGTTGGAACTTTACTATATGGTATATAACTCTTAATTAATTATTTATAAATTTACAGATGATTTCACATTTTACTTGTGACTCATTAGTTTGTAGAGTCCAGGTAACGAACTTCTGCCTGGACACAGGAGTAGCAGGAAACTACACAGAAGAAGGGTTAAAGTATCCTTTATTAACTCTTTAAAAATATACAATGCGTCAACTCGACGCTAACAAACTTCGCCACTGCTTGGGCGGTAACTGAAAATCACGTAATTAAACTAAAATTTGAAGATATTAACAAACAATAGACCTAGACTACTGGGTCAGCGAGATAGCGTAACTTAAATCCTCTTTGAAGCTAGTGGCAGCAGATAAATGCAATTAAGCCACTTGAACCAGCAATAAGCAAACGTACCTACGGCAGAGACGGCGGCTAGAGCCTAACTCCTTCTTTTTCCCTACCGAAACTCGGCTTTTAACTACTTACTTCCTTCAAAGTAGAAAATTTGCATTTCCTTCCGAGCGCTACAACATTTAACTATTCTGGCACTGACAGTTAGGAGAATGAAGGCTTACAGGAAAGGTCTAAACTCAAACTAAATCCTTATAAGTTCATAAATTCGCATAAAAATATTTCGTAGTTTTACAGAGTCTAATACATTTTTTTAACTACTAGTCGGGAATTACTACTATACAGGGTGTTTATAAAGTTCCGGACCCATTTTGATGTTTAATAACTCATAAAATAATAAAGATAGATTAAAATTAATAACATAAATGGTTAGATAGACTTAAAAAGTTTTATAACTCTTGTCAATGAACTTCCACGTGTGCCCCCTTCGTCGCACGGAGAATATCAAGTTGATATTCAATTTCACGCCAGGTACCGGCAAGCATGTCGGCATCCACAGAGGCTATTGCGGTTGTAATTCTGGCTTTTAGGTCATCCATGTTCGACACTCTCCTCCTGTAAACGTTGTCCTTTACAAATCCCCAAAAGAAAAAAGTCCATGACATTGCAATAGTTGCCAAAAACAAAAGAGAGAAAAATTAATAAGCAGACGATATTTAGAAAAGTACAGATATTTAGACTGGAAAATGAAATTATCTGAATTTAACCACACGCGCAGACGATATTTACAAAAGTAAAGATATTCAAACCTGAAAAGGAAAATATAGTATAAGTTATTCCATCAATAAATGCCATAAGTTTGTTTATATCTTCATTATTTTATGAGTTATTAAACATCAAAATGGATCCGGGAGTTTATAAACACCCTGTATATTGTCTTCTATTCTTTGCTGTTAACTATTAGAAGGATAACAGAATAAGGTATTTCTGTCTAGGAGGAATGTGTAAATAGCGTAATGATATTCAACTGCTGTCTATTAAAATATTATACATGAAAAAATATAAGTACCCTGTACTATGTATATTATGCAGCTCGCAGCGAACAAATTTTTTTTTTTAGATTGCTTTCAGGTTTAAAAAGACGAATTTAAAGATTATCAAAAAACGAAAATTTTACCTTTTTCGGCCAGACACTGAGGTTCAGTCTAGGAAATACAGTCGCACCACCACCGCGAACATCGCTTAACTACGAAGCAAAACAAACTATTAAAGCTAACTAACTTCTAAAATAATTTCAATTAATATAAATTGCTGATTTCGTATGAATAAAGATATGAAATTCTATTTACGTATAGAAGCCATGTTGCAATTCTGTTGCCCATGTCAGGTCCAAAGTATCTTTCAGTATCAGGCTACACAAATAAACACAATGTAAGATTAAATGCGAATTAAATTTTTTAATTGCATAATGCTGGTGAGAGATTAGCATTATTTAGACTATGGGAAAGCTAGGTGCCTTATTTTTATTTACTTAAAGTTAGTTTAATTGATACAGCAGTTTTGAACATTTATTCCATTTATACAAATTAGTAAAGAGAATTTTTTTAAATATGGATGTTTTATGTAATTAATTATTTTTGTATAAGCAAATGGTGCTACAAATTTCAGAAAAAACAAAACTTCCATTTTTAAACCATACGTCGATTCTGAAAGAATAATGAAATAATTTTTTTAATCAAATGCTCAGTTTTTTTTAAATTTATGTATATATTGCCAGAAGGGTATTAAACAAAAGTTGAAAAGGAAAATTCCGATAAAAACAACAAATCTTACAAACCAAATTGCTTGCACAATTAAAACTTGCATATTTTCATATTGTGCCATTTTTTATGTTATTCTTCGTCATCTTCGATTACGTAGCACTGTTATTTTAATTTTCGTTTAATTGAATAATTTCACTGCAGGATTTTCCAGCTGTTACGATTTTTAATAGTACGATATATTACTAACTAAAGCTGAAATATATCAAAATCTCATCAATGAACACAATGGAATTCGGAAGAGAATTGTAAAAACAGCTCACCAGGACATCCATATGCAAATGAAAATGTCCTCCTAACCCATAATTGGCCATCTGGAAAGGTTCCGCTGAATGAGATGATAATCCTGTGATATCTTCAATACGCTGGTACATTTTTGGTATTAAGGGATGATCAGCTTCTCTTAGCCAAGCACTGGAACATAAACAATAATTATAAGATAATTCATTCAAAACTTTAAAATGCCAATGTCATTCATACTACTTCTCCCGAAAAGTCTTCCTAAAACTATAATACAAAGTCTTACAGCAAAATACTGAGCGTTTTCATAACTGATGATTAATTGAGCCTGAAAAGCTACGTACTCATAATATGAAACACCTCTCCATTTAAAAAGTTCGCACAAAATGTTTCTAGGCCAGTTCTATTTGAACTGTGAAGTCCTTTTCGAGTTCTATTACTTGTCACTATGGGAACATTTTTACTCATCTCCAGTGTACACCATTTCATCTAAACCTAAAAATATGAAATAGCTAATAGGCTAGCAAAGGAAGGTTCTTCCATGTCTTCCATGCCAAGTTTATGCTGAACCTTTGACCTACCTTGAGCCATTCCTGAGACAAAGGCTTTAATTAACATTTATTGGAGAGAATTACAGACAAATTTATGGTATGTTAGTGCAGTTCCTGGCATACTATTAGTTTCAAGGGTGACTGGAAGGACCAAATGGCTCTGGCTCAGTTGACTTCAGGACATTTAAGGACCCATTTACCCGAGGCACTAAAACATTCTCGACTTGTATTCTAATGTAAAACCCATGAAGCCACAGGGCAACATCTACTTAGTTATGTTGCCGTAGTGCGTGACTACCTGCTGAAGAGACCTAGTTTGGTGTTTGGAGTTTTGAAGGTTAATGAACTTATGGATCTGATCTGATACAGATCAGGTGGATTAGTAAGAAGACATTTTTATTTGTTCCAGTGCTCTTGTCTTACCTAGAAGCATTGGAAGGATACTTTTGTTGGTATCTGCCATATTCTGGACTTTGCGTCATTTGAGATGACTTGAGTTGTCTGAAAACGTTGACTTTAGAGAAATATCTTGATGAGAGAGAGAGTGACTGGATTAAAGTAGGAGAAATCCGACATTAAGAAGGTTGTGACGTAGCAGAGCCTATTTCTAATCAAAGAAACCCATTATTCAAAGTGCAACAATAGTGCCAGAAGGAAAAAGCACTTTTAATCTCGTTTGCACAACAACACGGCCAACGCTATTTCGGATGATATCATTTTGTGCATTTTTCTGTTGAGAATACATTAATGCTGTCTGATAATCTAATAACTTTTAAGTTTCAAACTCGTAACATGACATTTCCAAAAACGATTTTGAATACAAAAGTCTATTTTATTCAGTATCAATACCTCGTTCTAAACATTCAAATACGACAAAGTATCGATTATCCAGATTATTCAGTTATCTGAACATTCCAGTTAAGGTCAAACTGTGAATCAAAACTATTTTGAAAAAAAAAAAAAAAAAAAAAAAAAGAATGCTATATTTTTAGATGTGGGAAAAATACGTGTTGTTGCTCGAAATGTTTTTAACACTTCCGTCGCAATATAATATAGATACAAAGAAACCTAAATTGAAACTGGAATTAATTTTTTGCTAATAATGATAATGCTAGATATCAGATATTAAATGATAATGATATCCTGTTATGGTTACAGCCGAAAACATCGCGGAAAAAACATCGCGGACGATAACGTCGCGGAGAAAACAACGCAAGGCGAAAACGTCGTGCTACAAAACATCGTGGGAGAAAACATCGCAAAGAGAAAACATCGCAGTTCGAAAACATCGTGGTACAAAACATCGTCGTCGAAAATAATGCGGTTCAAAAACTTCGCAGTTTAAAAACATCGTCGTCGAAAATATCGTGGTAAAAAATAAAGTATCTACAAATCATCGCTTGACGATAACATCGCAGACATGCTTTTTTCATACATGCTTTTCGCAAACATGCGTTAATAACTGTAAATGGATATTCCCATAATGATTTGTGAGCGCAAAATGGAAAGAAGGATAATTTTTACTTTCACATTTTTTTATTAACTAATAAATTTTTTCTGAAAAAGTAAGAAGGAAACTTAAGCATAGCAAATTAATGCAACTTATAGCAATTAATAGAATTTTAAACCGACATAGTTAACTAACAAAGGCCATTAATAAATAATTTTTTATAAAGTTTTTACTGGTAATTTTTCGTGAAAAGTATAATCTATAAGTTGCATTTAATTTTCTATGCTTAAGTTTCCTTCTTACTTTTTCAGAAAAAATTTATTAGTTAATAAAAAATGTGAAAGTAAAAATTATCCTTCTTTACATTTTGCGCTCACAAATCTTTATGGGAATATTCATTTACAGTTATTAAAGCATGTATGGAAAAAGCATGTCTGCGATGTTATCGTCATGCGATGATTTGTAGATACTTTATTTTTTACCACGATATTTTCGACGACGATGTTTTTAAACTGCGAAGTTTTTGAACCGCTTTATTTTCGACGACGATATTTTGTACCACGATGTTTTAGGACTGCGATGTTTTCTCTTTGCGATGATTTCTCCCACGATGTTTTGTAGCACGATGTTTTCGCCTTGCGTTGTTTCTCCGCGACGTTTTCGTCCGCGATGTTATCGGCGGACACCCCTGTTATATAAGTACGAAACAAATCAGTCTTTCCATGACCCTATTCCTTGTATTAAAAAAATATTCGTTAGTTACTTGTTTAGCATCATTAGTGTAAACTGTTTTACTTGCCTATGAAATAGATTCGAAACGCAAAACCGAATACACTGTTAGTAAATCTAAATAAACGGTGTGCGATTACTGTAGAAGTAAAGTTTAAAATAATTCATATGCGTGAAGAAGAGAAAATTATATCAACAGTTTCTCGGGATATAAATCAACCCATTTATACGGAGAACATGTTGGATAGTAAAGGAAATGCCTTCCATTGTTAAAAGCACCAACAAGAGAAGGACCCGATTTCAGAGATGGGGGTGTTGCTGTCTCATTGCATCGAGGATCTGACACAGAAGCGGATATTGTTGACTTTCCAGATTGTCGAGGTTGGTCTTATACATAAATATTTACAAGAGAATGGACAGCGAAAGCGCATTTAAAGTTTGTGCTTGAATGATGAACTATTTAAGAGATGTACACTGCGAAAATAAAGGGGAGGACAGTTCTATATCTCTCGTTCTACTAGGCCGATTGACGAAATTCAACTTGCGTTTCTCATGCCTCGAAAGCGCGACTTAGGATATGTATTAGATTTATATATTGTTATAATATAGGTATTTTGAACACAAAATCGGACTTCTTCTGAAATGACATGTCAATTTGTTTTCCATATTTCGATTTTATGACTCAAATTATGCCAAACTCCCAAGTTTTGTAAAAATCGCACGACTAATTTTTGAAAAATTAGCTCTCATGTTAGCTTCATTGTTAACTGAATTTGATATATATTTATTAATATCTCTTTCTTTATTAAACTTTTTCCCTTCTTCCTTTTATATTTCGAAATTTAGGTTCAATCCAAATAAAATTCGCCTATTTTTTATTATTTATTTTGAAAATTTGTAGTTTTAAATAATTTCTATAAATTTTTTGAAAACAATTTTGAATTACAACCTATAAAAAGCTTTGCCACCCTCTTAAAGAGATATATTTCAAGTCATACCTTCCAAAAATTAGAGTTTTTTTATTCAGAATTTCCTACGATATACGTGAATTTACATTTTGGCGTCTTTTGAAGTTTGGCGTATTTATTATAAGCGATAATAACGAAAATGCGGTTTACGCACTTCGTTAAAATTATTTGAAAATATGAACGATGACCTATTTTTCCGCTCGTGGAGAATGAAGAAAAAGGAAAGGAAAACAGATTGCTGTAAATTACGAAGTTCGCTAAGTGACTAAGGGATTCTTGGCATAAACTGAAAAAAAAATTCGCCAAGATAAATTTTTATAAATTTCTCACCAAAAATTATCAGATTTAATATCTAAGCATAATTTGAGTCGTAGAATCGAAATATGGAAAAATATTGGTATGCTATTAAAGAAACCGTTCTATTTTGTGGCAAAATACCTATGTAAAACAAAGCTATATATAAATCTAATATATATCCTACGTCGCCCTTTCGTGATACGGAAAACACAATTTGAATTTCGTCAATTGGCCCAGTAGAATGGGAGATAAAGAGCTGTCCAATTTCCCCCGCCCCCGCAGTGTACATAATAACACAGCATCAAATTGGCGGGTAAGGCAGCAAGTGGAAATATTGATGTGAAAAATAAAAAGCGTGAGGTCACAGAATCTACTCTATACATGTTTATGAGATGCCGTTCATAAGATTTAACAGTCTGACTGACAAAGCACGGCCTAGAGTACTTATCATGAAGTCCTTATGAAAGTATATATACTTGCATCTTGAAATATGTCCAAGAATTTAAGGCAATATCTTAGGGTATAAAGTACTAGCAGCGTTTTTTAAGTGGTTTTTTTTTTTTTTTTTTTTCCCATGAGCATTTTTAGCGAAACCTCGTGCCGGTCAGGGGCTTAAGATGACAACTCAGACAGCTACGACTGACTAACGATGCTAACTTAAATGATCCCAACTATTCTTAACCTTCGATGCTAACTTAAATGATCCCAACTATTCTTAACCTTCAACATCGATAGGGGTAAACGTTGCCACCGCAAAGCATTTCTGTTTAAAATAATCTCTCTCCAGCGTCGACATTCCCACTGCAAGGACAAATTAACCATAATTTGTCCTTGCAGTGGAATCATCAAACTTTCATAAGGTCTCAAAAATCATAAGCCTTTTTTAATTTGAAAAAGCGTTATATATTCTTTTATATATTTTCCATATTTTTACAGTTCAAGTTAGTACTGCTGCACATTGTTTTAATAATAAAATAATAATCTGCAAAAAAAAAAAAAAAAAAAAAAAAAATCTGAAATGTTTCAGATTTTAAATTACGTCCAAAGGGGCGTTTTTTTTTAACATTTTGTGTGTTACCTTTCTTTATTAAATATCATGTTCCTCGCACTTAAACCATAAGATCCAGTGCAACAACAGCAATATCGCAAAATAGTTTTTTTAAAACGAGCATATCTTTAGAATTTCCGATACAGAGACTCACGCGCTGGAGATAAAAATTTTTTTTTTCTGCACAACGTTGCCATTGCTCGCTTTGAAATCCTTGAGTTTGTTAATCAAAAATTTCAAAATTCGTCAAAGTTTTAAAAAATAGGAAAATCGATAAAACAAATTTCAAATTTCAAATTTGGTCTTCCACATGCTCATATTCGTTGGAGGATTACGTTATTCAAAATTCGATGACTCTATGTACCGTTATTTTATGACACTGTGAGAAATATACATACATTTACGCAGATTTTCATTATTTAATTTCTTCAAATATAATGCAGGACTCTAACATTTTATGGCAACAGTTTGAAAAGTGAACCGACATTTATGAGTCCGACGCAAAATGCCAAAACGAAACTGATAGTCCTTCGGGATTCAAATCCCTTTGGACTAAAAATGCATTAATGAGCAAGTCAAAAATCAAATCCGTCATGACTTTGTTTGGGAGTAGAGATCACAGAAAGGAGTGTTCATACCGAATTCTTTCTTCTAGGACAGTCAGTTGATAAGCATTTTACCGTGAGGTGCTTGACAAACTTCGCAAGAAATTTCGATGTGTCTGTCAATAGTACATTGCCGATTTGAGAATTCTTGAAAATAATAAGATAGTTGCAGTTAAAAGTTTCCAAAAAGAATATCTCTTAATCATTTCTAAATGTTATGACGCGTTAGGGTAAAATCCTGGTCTATGGTACGGTCTTGGCGCGACTTTGAAAATTGTCGCTAGCACCAGAAAGACTCGTTTTCCGGTCATCACAAATACCGCGTTTACTGCTCATCATAATGTCGTCGTAAGTCACCAGATTCCTCGTGTGCCTCATACTAGAATGAAACCATTGGGTAGTATTAATTAAAGAAAATATATACGCGAAATGGAGTTGAAAATAATAAAATTCCATTTCGCTGGTTTTAAATACTACGGTGTTTGGCTATAAATTAAATCTGAAGCGTAGCTAGAAGAGGCTCAAATCTTTATTCAGCTGTCCTAATATTCCAAGTTAACAGTTTTTGTTGCCATTCTACAAAAGACAAACTTAAAGCGATAAATAGCATTCGTTTTCAACAATATGGGCTCCCTAAAATCAAATGATAGATAGTTATTACGTTATTCATGTATCTTTCATATTTTTCTCAGTTCAATTTCGCTTGCTGTAATAATGCAAAACTCACATTTTTGTGACTCTGGTATCAGACACTCGATGACCGAGACTTCCACTGTACTCTGCAACTTCAGCTCGTTGTAACTGAAATATAGAAAAATGCATTAAGCATAAAGCATAAAAATACTCTTTTGTTAAACAACTTAATTTACCATACGAATTTAGAAACATGTGTGGGAAAATTAGAAAGAAGGATTTAAAAAGATAAAACTCTTTTGATATACCCAACATTATCCAACTGTATTCAACAAATGAATAAAGTTTTGATTAGAAAAACGTGCATTCACAATTTTCTTTGACGAAAAAAATCTTGTTACTTTAAGGTTTAAAAGAAATGCGTAATCTTGTTCCGCGATATGTTCATCCCTACCGGTCATTTATTGATGATGAATAATCGTTTTTCAGAGAATCTGGTTTAAGGCTAAGTTATCTTTTGCTGTACATATCATCGATATGATGGCAAACATAGATGTGTCTGTTATTCTTTCACAAATGCTCGAGAGCGAGCGAGGATACTGCACGAGCGGTAATCATGGTTACATAATTTTGCGCGAGCTTTAAAAAGCTTTCATGTGTTAGAGAATATCTCAGTCTGAAGCTAATTATAATTTTCAACATTGTGTTATAAAATGAAGCTCTGTTTTTTTGTTGGGTGCCTTAGAAAATGAAATCCACTGCGTATATTAGAACTCGAGATTATTAGAATGCGAGTGTTTCTTACAATCTGCTGTGTTTAGAAAATATTCCTTATGTTTAAGCTTGCAATGTTCGAGTTCCAAAAGTATTCAAGTTTAGTAAAGTCACGCCAGGCTTATTCTCGACATGCATTTGCACGCCGAGAATAAGCACACCTATCAATGACACGAAAGCTCTGCTTATCTAAATAGACTTTTTATGCCATTGTAAGTGTGCCTAATTTGAAAATATAACAGTAAATATAATTGTATTAAATGTTTATAAAATTCAGAATAGTATTTTAATTTGTGGTAACTGACTATACATTCCATGTTGAAGTCTCCCGCATTCGGGTGTGTAATGAAATAATAGCTAGCAAAACGAAAATTTTGAGAGCTCTGCTCACGACAGTGGCAGTGAAATGGGGTTTCTGTCAGAAAATACAATTTAGTAGTTAATGGGGGTTTAATATCTAAGCAGTTAATTTCCATGATAATTTTAAAAAAATCTGATGTGTACACCACATGACTTCCTTGTACGGAATATCAAATTATACGCATTTTTTCTTGCATTTTGTTTAAACTTATTGGATTTAATTATATCTACTTCGCCGAGAGCGCATAAACCACAATAGAATAAGTGCATTCTTTAAAATTCACTCTAGTATTTTTTTACCATAGCGACACTCTGGCGCTAGATTCATTTAACAGTATTATATTTCGTTAAGTATAACATTATTATATTTCGTTCATATTATAACTCATAATGCAGAAAATTTATATCATTTAAAGAATAGAATTATCTAATCGTTGCCACATGTTCTATTCAAATACTTAAATAAAGCTAGAATGATGTATAAAAGAAATTAAGCAAACAAAACAAAAAAGAAACAGTTTTTCACAGACGATTGAGTATTTTTCTTATTCAATAATTCAGTTCTCACTTCGCGACAAGGCAAAAATACATAAAAACTCAAAATATCTCTACTAAAAATCACTAATTATTAACAATTAAATTACTATTTATTAAAAATTAACTTATTAAAAATTAAGTAAATCTTAAACACTTATTTCCTCGAAAAAATTCCAGAAAAGATTAAGCATGATTTAAATCGCAATAATAAATGAAGGCGTTTATCTTTGTTGTTGCGAAGATACGTTTCTCTAGATTGGCAACAAATTTATACTCAGCTGTTTCAAATGTAAACAAGCAATGGCCGTCATCAAAATGGTTTAGCGGCACTTAAACAACTTTTAAATTGTTGATAATTCTAAAAATATTGCATACAGATTTACTAAAGGCATAAAACCCTTAACCGGAAGATAAAAACAACATAATTCAATCATTTTTATAGAAAAAAATGTACACTTTACAAACATATAAGAGTAAAGAAACTGAGATCACTGAGCCGGGTAACTGAGTGGATATATTTATAAATATATTTATATACGTTTGGCGCGGCCGATTGCAACCAAAACACGAGGTGCCAATCTATATGTTATACTAGTCCTATATACAAAATTTCAACGCTCTGAGACTACTTGTTTTTGAATTATGCGAGATACGTACGTACATACGTTCGTACAGACGCCACGAAAAATTCTTTTCAGAATTCATTTTAAAGCAGTTTTTTAGTTTTTTTGGAGGAAAAGAGTGTTTTATTCTGTCCTTACGTACAGATATTACGCAAAAACATCGTTAAATTGCATTCGAAAGCAGTCAAAGTGGATATTTTCGTTGAAATATGCTGCCTGAAGCTTTTCGCGATTACAATACCTCCTTTTTACTTCGTACAAGGAAGAAAAAAGAGAAAAAGGAGAAAAAATACTTACTTTAAGGCGAAGCTTTCAGATTACTAATTATTACTAATTATTAATTACTCACAAAGGGGTGTTTTTTTATTTATTTACTCACGCATACACATTTCGAAAGTATTTGGACTAACGCCCTTTTGGGTTAAAAATATTTAAAAACATATTTTTAGAATTTCTGATAGACGGTCTTGCGCGCTGCAGATAAAAATCTTTTATTCCGTTCAGTGTTGCTACTGTTTGTTTTGAAATCGTTGAGTTTTTTTAATCAAAAATTCATTAAAATTTTCAAAATATGAAACAGATAAAACAAATTAGAAACTCAAAATTCTGTCTTCCACTTGCCTATATTCGGGTGGAGGACTACGTTATTCAAAATTGGATGGCTCTAGGTACCCTTGATTTTTCACAATGCGAGAAACGTACATACATTCCTGCAGACTCTTCATTATTTAATTTCTTTAAATACAATATAGGGTGATAATATTTGGTGGAAACAATTTGACAACGCTTTTGCGATTCGAAACGCAATGACATTTCGGGACTAATAGCCCTTCTGGAGTAAAAGGAATTTTCAGTAAGGAAATTTCTGACTACAGTCGTCTAACATGTCAAACAAGTATTTAACTGTAATTTGTTTCCTTAATTTAGCAGCATACAAAATATAAAGTATCGTGCAATATTTCTTTTCTGTTCTTAAATAAAAATATCTGCTACTGACAAATCTTTAAATCAAACCTTTACTGTTGATAAAATTAAAAGACAATATGAAAAGGATAATGAGATAAAAAATTCTGCAACTCTTTTCGAGCCTATTAATGTAAAATGGCGTAAACCAATTACTATTAATAAGTGAGGAAATTTCATTTAAGAGGAGAATAATTCGACTTTAGATTGGCAGATTTTAAGCTGGAAAGAACAGTAAAGGTTTAATTGAAATCACATGACTTAAAACGACAGAAAGTTAAATTTATGCATTACGTAAATGAAGCTCAGTCAGCAAAAATGTTTTATTAATTTCATTTATTAAATATAGTGATAACTTGTTTGTTAATAAACATATAAATAATGTATTTATTCGACACAATAAATGTCAAATTTGTGTGTATCTTTATGTCATGTTAAAAAATTTAATTTTTAGTTTTAATTATCATTTATAATGCATCCCTTCAATAAAACTTAAGAAAAAAGTACTCGGTGGAAATGTCTTGACACGTCGAAGAAATGGTCAACAAAAACCGGTATAAATAGAAAAATGTTAGGAAAAGATTTATCATTGTTTGAAAAACTTAAAGAAACGTTTAGTTTGGTTTATTTGATTAGGCAGAGCACTCGAGCGCTATCAGCTTGAAGGGAGGGAGGTATTCGTAAAGCGACTTTCATACATCGTAGCCATGTTTCACGAGGGAAAACTACGGAAAGGCTTATGCAACCAGCCACTTCTTTGAAATTCCAAACCTAGCGAAACAACCTGTGTTCAGCGATTTTACCACCTGGGCGCTGGTGGGCTATATTTAACACAAAATATTTTCGATGGTGAATAATGTAGACATATGATTACGGAGTGCCGAAAGATGGTAGCCGTCTTCCTGTCCAGTTGAACGAACACTTTCTATGCTGCCCGACCAGGATAGTGGTTAGCGACGCTGATTGCTTAACCGAAGTACTCGGATTCGAATCCTGGAGAAGGCTTGAATGTTTGTAAACGTATAGAGTCTATGGAGAATTACCAACGACAGGCGAAATCTTGCACTCCTTGCCACGATTAATTTCTTAGGCCTAATGTTACTATCAGACAAGTAAGGTAAGTCACATTCAACAACAACACATACTTTCTATTGCCCTGCAGAACCTTTCTGATGCAAACACATGTTACTTTGCCTGTCTGTGTGCCCGTACTTTACCAGTTACATTTGCTCCTTTTTTACGTCTTTATTACATTATATTTGATGAAAGGAAGATAAGCGAGGGCAAGTTAATAGAGCAGAAAGCAAGAGAAGGAAATACGTATCTTTTAAATGAAAATTATTTGGTTAAGTTATAGTTTGACTATTTTATCTACACTCACGTTTGTGAAAATTGCAACACCATGAAGGACTTACGCGAGTGAGCTGAAATTTTCAGGAAATGCAAAGTAGCGCATGATATGCAAATGATTAGAATTTCAAATCCGTAGCGCATGCGTATGCTGAGCAGTGCCCTCTGAACGGCTGATGGATCCGAATAAATAGACGGCTGTAGCGAGGCGTGTATGGTTATCGGTGGTTATCTGCTAGTGGTAAACGTTAACTCAATCTGTACTTATGCCTCGTCGACGAAAGAGAGCGAGATTTGAACAACTTACAGAGTTTGAACGAGGGAGAATCATCGGCCTTCGTGAAGCTGGATTGTCGTATCGTGCAGTAGCCTCTCGTGTGCAGCGTAACAGCAGCACAGTGATGCGCGTTTGGAAGCATGGACGGACGAGTGTCGGACAACTCGAAATCCGGGAGTGGACCCCGAAATGTGACGTCAGCTCGCGATGATAGACACCTGGTCCGCATGGCGCGGACGGACCGTACAGCTTCCTCTAGACAATTGGCAGCACTGTGGTCAATTAGCTACAGGTGTTTCATTGTGTGCTTCATCATCATTCGTAGACGTCTGCTGCAGTGTGGACTGCGCGCACGGACTCCTTTATACAGGATCCCCCTAACGCACGACCATCGCCGCCTGCGGCTTACAATGGGCCAATCAGCATAGAGACTGGCGTGCTGATGATTGGCAGCATGTCGTGTTTTCTGACGAATCCCGCTTTAATTTGTGGGTACCATGATGGCCGCATTCGTGTCAGACGCTATGCCGGTGAACGCCACCTTCCGGAGTGCATTATCGAACGCCACAGTGGACGAACACCTGGAGTTATGGTCTGGGGCGCCATAGCATATCATAGACGATCTCAATTGCTACGAATTGTGGGCAATCTGAACAGCAACCGGTATATAACCGTGAAGTTCTACAGCCCGAAGCTGTTCCCTTCCTTCAAAGCTTGCCAGGCGCTGTATTTCAACAGGACAATGCCCGCCCTCATACTGCTCGGATTGTTAAATCCTTCTTTGCAGCGCAGCAGGTACAGCTTCTTCCTTGGCCTGCGTGTTCCCCGGATATGTCGCCAATTGAACATGTGTGGGATGTCATTGGTCGGCGTCTTGCTCGTGATCCTCGTCCTGTTGCGTCTGCAGACGAACTTTGGGTACGCGTACAAACGATATGGAATGCTCTTCCTCAGTCAGACATTCAAACTTTGTTTGACTCCATGCCACGTCGTGTAGCAGCACTTATTGCGGCGCGTGGTGGCCACACAAAATACTGATTCTGATCTCTTGTTCTTGTTTGTTTGCTTTGAACATTTAATCATTTATTTGTACCACTACCACTCAACTGTGTATTAAATTGCATTCAATTATGACGATTCCTTCTTGGTGTTGCAATTTTCACAAACGTGAGTGTATTAATTTTTAGTTTCAGTTTGCAAATTTTATTATTATAATTGGTTGATACATTATATAAGTGCCTAATATCGCTAGAGCTATGTAAGATTCATGTTAGAAGAACTGATTTTGAAATGACGCAGTTTAGAACGATGTATTTATTTTAGGAAGAAAGGGATCTATTTAGTTACTATTTTAGGAAGAAAAGGGAAAATAACCAGATTAAAAAAAAAGAGTTAATCTGCTATTGCAAATTAAAGTCAGTATTATTTTATATTATCTATTTACATTACATCCTTTACATTAGAAAAACTTAAATATTTTCAATTATAAATATTATATGTAAGGATTCAGTAGAATAAAAGATGTTTAGGGAAAAATAGCATTGTGATACATTGTCATAAGAGGAAAATACGCCAAAATCAGTTGCGAAAGGCTGCTTTAAAGCTCAAAATTGAGATTTTCCAACAAACTAAATGCACCATGCCCGAATGATTTTTAATACTTACGCTAGGAAGAGCAAGGGATTTCATAACTTCGATTTCCGAGTTAGATATTACATCGTAAAAGAGCGAAATTTTGGGTTCCTTCCATAGCTGTTCTTCTTTCACTGGCTGTAGTGTCAAGTAAGGATGATAAGCGACCAACTTGCATCTCAGTTGCGAGGAAAAACTCTGTAAAACAGTATGACATTTGATATGATTATTTCGAAGTAATTTTGCCTATACGCATTTTTAATTATGTAAACTGACTCTAATATAAGACAATGCTTTTTTTTAATTCTCTTACAAACATGCCATTTTGCATCTTATATAATCTAAAATTTAAAATTACATTAAGATAAATCATTTATCCACAAATTTTTACTTTAATAATAATTAAATTTCCTATCAAGCTATTGTACTTAGACCATTTAATTAACTTTCTTGTATCGCACAATGTACATACCAAGCTCGTACATATAAGACCATTTCATATACTTTTTTTTTTTACTTTTACACTGCTAAGGAGGACTACTGACCGGGAACAAGCCCTTGCAGTATGATGTCCGCCCTCCAGACATTTATTAAGTCTAAATTTAAAAAAAAGAAAAAGAAAGAGCACAGAGTCACATCTGGATAGGGTATACAAAGGACTACCTTGAATACATATGACATTCCTGATAGTATAGGTTACAAAAAAAAATAATAAATAAAAAAAGTACTTAGAAGTACAAAGCTGCATTGATACAAAACTGGTAAAGGTAAAACAAAAACAGTAAAATTTAAGACTAACATTGGAATTTCAAGCCTGCAGTTATACATCACACTGACTTACTATTATACACTTACTATAATTCCGCACATTACAACATATTATGCAATATATTACTATAATACTGAAAAACACACTAGCATAGTAAAACTGATACTACAAATAAAACACAACATATACACTGCTCGTATCAGAAAAGTAGACAATTCTGTACATGATGCTGTACTGTAACGCTAAAACTAAAGAACACTAGACAATAACCTTTGGAAACAGTCACAGTGAAATTAGGAATATAATATATTGTAGCAGAGTTAGAATACGAGTCATTTCAAAACATTAAATCCAGCAAAATATTTCAATACATATTTACAAAGTTCTACAACCAAGAAAGTCTGGTTCAATACTACTATTATACATCACACTTACTTATCATTATACGACCCTAAACTATTATACTCCACATTAATAGAAAAAATTATACAAGATACTTAATGGAATACTGTACATACACTGAAATAAAATGGCGAATACTACGAAATAACAATCAATATACAATGTGCTTATCAGAAAGTTGGTTCTGCGGCCACGAATATTTGTTATAAACTGTTGCATTTTGCACAATACTAGAAACTGTTACAAAACATTTGCACACAATATTTCATGGTACTAGCCGAGAGCTCTATATATGTATTTACTATTTATACCGCAAACTTAATTTGAAAACATAACACAACGCACTTACTACTTAACAGGTCAATACACTAAGACAATGTGTAAATTGAAATACACAGAATACAATACAAAAATTAAGTAAACACAATAAAATTTAAAGATTAATAATGGATAGAAGCGACACTGAAGTACAAATAGACAGACATTGATTGTGGTAATCTGCATCTAGGAGGTAACATGTTCCACCATTTTGTATACTGTTACGAAATGTATAGACGCGGTAAGATAGCTTCCCCGCAAAGCAGTTTTAGCGTTGCCATAAAATGGCAGGGGAAGGCAGGGTTGCCACATTTGGCGAGAAATTGCCCATTTGGCAATATTTGGCAACAAAATTGGCGATATGCTATTAACGGATGAAGAACCTTCTAGAACGAATTCTTACCGGTTTAATGTTCTCGAACACAAGCCGAAAGCTATATAAATCCTGCTGGTCCGCAGTTAGTGAGTGTGTTTCATCTAGTTAGTCCGTACAGAGACGATCGAGTTGACAGCCGGTCAGCGAGTGCCGAGTGGGTCGTCCAGTGTATCGACAGTGTCTCTTAGTTTATCGCGGTTAGTGCATCCTCGAGAAAGTGTGTTGAGCTCCAGAAACGACTGAACCGAAGAGTCGGGAGCTGTGCTCTGTGTGTCGTCGAGTGCATCGCTAGTTGTAGAGTGGAGAGTCTCGAGAGTACGTGGAGTTCCGAGAACGACCAACCAGAGTCGGGAGCTATATTCTGGTGCTTTGCAGTGAAGCTGTCTCCACCGTTATAGCCTGCTCACCTGAAGGCTGTGTCGCTGATTGTTCCAGCGAGTGTATAGTAGATCTTCGACGACTGTAAAACGTGACTTTGAAGCTGTCCTGATTAATATATGCTAAATAAAGTGTGTTTCGATATGTCATCAAGTAGCGTCGTCGTTATTCACTCCAAATCTACGAACCCCGTACGAACTTGAAGCAAGAAAATAGCGTAACAACTGGTGTCAGAAAAAAAACGCAAGAATACTTTTCTTACCCTTGCAAAATGCTTTTAGAAATTCAAGGGTCACCTCATGTATGAGGCCATTATATATTTCGGTCAGTACAAAAAGCATAAAACTGCTACAGCCCTTTCATTTGTGTTTTAATTAAAAGATAATCCCTTTTGCAAACCTAATATAAAATATATTTATAATTTCAGATTTTTTATCTACATCATTTCTCGACTGAATAGTTTTGTCTGGTTTCTTCCTATTATCTGACCACATAACGCAACTTGAAGTTCATGTGTAGTGGCCGAAACCGCTACGCAAACCCTGAGTTGTGACACAGGGTTGAAATGAACCTCTAACTCAAGTTTTAACAACAGCATGAATTTTAATAAGATGAAAACCTTAACAGCTATGGGCATCTTGACAATATGGGACTTGGATATATTTAGTCCCGTAATTTCAGAATTTTGTTACACGAAAAATGCTCTAACTCATTATACACAAGGAATGATGGTTCCTAGCCGGCCAACATGTCCATAGCTCTAAACATGAAAGTTTTCCCCTCTTCTCCGGAAATCAAATTATATATTTTCCTGTGTTTACTTGCGCTGAACTCCCAAGGGGGGGGAATGATTCTTTCACTTATACGTAACAATGTGTCCATCTCCTGACCCTGATGAAAAGACTTCTTTTACTTCTTTGTCCACTGGAGCGACCTCCGAGGCTGCAACCGGAATTAATAATAAGGGCACAGGATTTCACTACAGATAAGAAACTATTGCACTCTGAAATCACTCACCCTCGACAAAGAACCTTTATGCCACCTTATCACATTCATTTAATGGTTAAGGGAAAAATGTAAAGTCTTATCTGATAGTTTTAATACTGAAACCTTTTCATAACTAATGTTCGTAACTACCAGTTTCATAACTGCAGTAAAAATTATTATTTTATAACTATTTTCACGACAACATGTATTACCTCTTTTAACTCGCAAAACAACGGCGTGTCTGCAAAGCATCGATTCAGTGAGATATCTGGAGGTTTCTCGACAGATTCGTAGAAATATGTATATCTTGGGATACCGTGTAAGGTATATTTTATTTTAGTGAACCTGTCCTATCTCGCCTCGTTTCAACTTACAACTCCCTACCAGAATGAGTTTTTATAATCGCGTTGAAAGCAAATGAGGAAGAGATAGTATTAAAGGAAGTTCAACTGACTTCTTAAGGATAGAGTTAGATATCCTGAGTAGCGAGTTTTTGCCTTTGGGATATGTCTCTCTAACGTGTTGTGTTATTACGCTCGGCCGTATTATTGCGTACCTTTTGATAGTTCGCCGGCTACTTCGGATTACGGGCCAACTACATTATAATTGTGTTAACTTTGATTAACGTTCTTAATTAGATCTAGCTAGTTCTTATTTCTTTCTTTTAAGCTCAAATGGAGGCTTTGATGTAAGCCAGAAGAAAGAGGCCGATTGTTAAGCTTATTTTGAGTGAATATGGATAATTAACCTTTTCTTGAGTATACACTTTCTACTAAACGATAATTCGCTTAAAAGTTCACTAGGTTACACTTCATTTAGCAGAATAAAAGTAAGGAATTCTATAACCATTATATCAAAAAGATACTTCAGTTATCGTACATTTGTTGCAAATATTACATTAAAAATGCTCAATTGAGTTCATATTTAGTAAATTTAAAAACCAGAGCCTTTTCATTCAAAATGGCTTGACACAATTTCCTGGTGATAACGGTCATTATCACCAGGAAAGTGAATATAAATGGATGAATTTCATCTGCATAGATCAGTAGGTAACTTCGTGTGAATGGCTGAATTTTGTTTCTCAAAGCTATTCAGATATCTGACAAAGTCAGAAATTGCTCTACTGAAGCAACGGCCTAAAATCAAGTCAAATATCAACATGAAATTTATTTTATGCTCTTTATTCTGCAACCACGTAACACGTTTCTCCTTATTATATATAATACAAATATATGTATTTGTCTTGAAATTTTGCGAAATTACAACATTTACGCAAACCCCTTGCACTGAGTCAGTTCCATATGTGAAAAGTTGGCAAATTCACACTTTTCCTTTTATTATCATGATTCTTCTCAATCATTTAGCCTAATTTATCAAACGCAGTATTTAGAGTTTGTTAAAAAATCGCGTTGTGTTCATTTTCCAATGTGAATTTTCCTTGTTTAGGATTTGCTGCAAATAGATACAAGATTTCATAAGCAACATTGTAATCGTTGTCTGAAATTCTGTAAATATAATTTTGAGGTAAATTACAGTTCTCTAAAGATTCCGTGCAATTGTTTCTCTAAGCAAATAAAATGCCAAAATTAGGAGTCTCAATTGTTCCAGCATTTTGATTTTTATTTCTGTAAGCAGCACTAAAATTAGCAATTCTGCAAACAGCAGTTCGAGATCAGCATTACACGTTACCTTAATGAAATTTGATATATCTCTAACGTGGAATGCTGATCCAGTTTTCATAATTCTGTATCATTTTAGAAGATAGCCTAAAATAAAACACTGAATTCTATTATTTTGTTAAACTTAGTATCTTCACCCTTCAAGTGTATTTTCAAATGTATATTAGCTAAACATCTGTGGAATCATTTCAATTGGTCAAAAGTTGTACAAATTTTCTGCTACTGTCTATTTCTGGCAATGTATTGTTCTGCTTGTACTGATGATGGTAAACCAAGAATATTTGATCGC